AATAGTGACCATGAATGTATTCCCATCTGTACATCAAATCAACTATACAAATATAAAAAAAAAAACAAGACAACATTGTGCATGAAATCCAAAGTGTACGAGCAAATACAGGTCTGGTTCGGTGATTGCACTTTGATTCAGAAGAAGCATGATTGTCCCCCTACGAGGCTAAGAGACAAAGCACGTCAAAAATATGCAAAATCAATCAAAACTCCTTCACTCCTTGTCCTTTGAACAATGGGTATAGTCAAAGCTGATGCAGAGGTTTTATAATTTTCTTTTTTCACTTTTCCATATAAAGTTGAATTGTTATCTACCAGTGCCAACCACTTTTTCATTTCAAACCCATATATCATGTTATTATACTGTTTGCATGAAGTTTCCTTTTGTCCATTTTCTTTTTTTGTATGTGAGTAATAATTTGGAAAAAAACATATGTTGTTCCAACTGTTTAATTAGAGTCCATATATTGAAAATTACTTTTCCTTTTATCGAGATAATATCAAAACAAATAGTAAAATAAAACTTTAAATTCATAATAATTTACGTCAAAACAAACCATTTTATTAATTAAATTAAGTTATTGTAGATGATTATTCGGTGTTTTTAGCCAACTTTTGAGTAATAAGGGTAATTGCCTAGACCATTTAGGTCAAGGGTTATACTTGTGTTGACAAATTGAAATTTTCTTCTTTTTTGATTTTTTATTTTGAATAAATAACAAATCAAAATTTTCATTCAAAAGAAATGTGAAAATTTACTAAGTGTTTTCATAATAATTTGTCATGTCTTTAAATTATTTTTTCAAAATAATTTAAAATTTTATAAATAATTACGTCTAAATATTTGATTCATTGATTAACGTATAATCTCATATCTAAAAAATAAGATCAAAATCCTTTTGTTTCAATTAAAAACAAAAAGCTGAAACTTAATATGTTGGTAAAAGAAGTTATGGCAAAGTTTAGGAAGTTTTAATTCCAGGGCCATGGCAATAATGGACATAACTTGAGTTAGGACTTGGCCTTGGGTCTTTGGATACATAAAGAGATACCAAAGACCAAGGCCCCCTTTTTCATGATGTTCGGTCATACATATCGGCATATGGTCCTAGACCCATTCATTAAACCTTGGCGGCCCTTTAAAAGGTGTGGTTTATACATGTAATAGTAGAAACCTAGAATATAGTATGTTAATAACCTTTTTTGTCTCTATGCATTATATACTCTAAAAAAAATCATTAATTTTGTATTAAATAATAATTAAGAATATGTTTTGGATCACGTGATATAAAAATCCATCTGTGTGGGCTTTTAATTATTTTTTTATATGAAAATTTTAACGACTTAGCTATAATCAGCCTCATTAGATTCTTTTTAGTGCTATGACTTCAAAATCAACCACTGTTTCACATTTGACAGTAAAATTCTCCTTTTCTTGCACTTTTCGAGGTGTTATATTTTATTATAATAAACAAAAAGTTGATGAAAATTAAGTGAAGGACATGTGAGTGGGAAAAGGTTAAAGGGGATCACAAGAAAATTTGTCATGGATTGGTGCTCGACCAAATGCATTACGTTTGGAGGCAATGATACTTTACAATGAAAAGGACTTTGATTATCTTCTAATAATGATAACACCACCACCACTACCACCACCACCACCACAACAACAACAACAGCAAATTAAAAAAACAAAAAAGGAAAAGAAAAGGAAAGGAGAATGTTGCTTTGGATGGAGATTTAAAACGTAAATTCAAGTGTGGGTTTCTCTTGCTTTTACTCCTTTGGTAGATAAGTCTTGTTGTTTTAACCATCATCATGGAACTTTGACGGATGATCAAGCCAAGAATATATTGGTTTTATGTGGTTTGAATGGGCGGCAATTTCTTTAAATGGTGGTTTCCCAAATGTTTTGGGTTTTTGGCCATGTACCTCCAACTATCATGTGATGATTGCTTTTTAGGTATAAAGAAGATGAAGAACAAATCATCAGTCTGTCTCTTTGATGGAGGATCAACCGAAAAATCTAGTGAAATGTTGAATTCTTATGAGGAGATTGAACAAGAGTTCATGTTCGGAAAAAGATGACTTAATTTGGATCACTCATGCTGCTGATGGGGCATCAAATAGATTAAGATCCAAGTTCAATGTTTGGCCTAGAAGAGATTACCAGTAAAAGAACTTATTGCCCCAACTTTCAGGTTCCCACCTGAACCGTTCCTTCATTAAGTTGGTTTCATTTTTGGGGTGGGAACACACTTGCATGACAAGCAATTGCAACGATAACTACATTATCAAATTAATTAAGTCAGGTTGAGAGAGCCAACTCCCTGCAGCATTAATCCAATAATTAAGGCTGCTTGCTTCAGATCGGATAACATTCACCTCCTCATATAGTATTATATATCAGCTTATTATAGGCTTTGATTATGTGTTTAAATACTTCCTTAAATAAACCGTCAAGCTAGGTATCCCAAATCAACCATACCATATACATATGACTTGCAGTTACTGGTTGAACCTTTAGCCTATACTTCAATCTCGCTAATCTTCTAGAGAACATGCACTTGCAGGAAGTGTGGTGGAATACATGAGCTAAACACTGTGTAGGAGGCAAGGAGGAAAGGAAGGAAAAATTACGTACTTCAATTCTTTCCATCATTTCCTTCCTTCCTACTAAACATGGTGTGGTGTAAGTTCTCTATTATCTCTCTCGCTCCCGTGTTTGACAGAAACCAATGGATCACCAGAATTCAGTCAGTGTGATCAAATTAACATGTAGGTGGAGTTTGAAAAGTAAACTTCTTTGATGATCGTTACCCTTTTATCCTTACGCGTCACCATAAACTCTACCTGCATTTTTAGATAATTAAGTCTGAGCTTGAGTTATAGAGGACCCAAAGATTGAAAGCCTGCCTCTACATAAGGGGAGAAGCCCTCCTTCACTCAATTTCTCTTGGTTTTAATCATAGCAGCACACCTGAACTGTTAGTAACTCAGATACCGTCCTATATCAGTTGACCCGGGACTTCAAAAAAGGAAAAAGAAAAAAAAAAAACCATAGCTAACAGTAATGCGCTGAGGAGCACACATTTCGTTGTTAAGATGACTAACAACCAGAAAGCATAAACTTTAAATTCCATGTTGCATGACAGCAAGATGGAAGGGCCCTTTTGATACAATGACAAATGTGCTATCTTTCTTCTTCTTGGTTTTACGAGTAGTGTTGGTATTCGACACGTTAATTACTCGTCAATTACAGATATCTGATCGCTTATCCATACGTTAAATCCGATTACTTATCACGGGTCATTTTCATACACAAACATGAATGAAAACAATAGGGAAACCTCTGCTATAAATGCTGGGAAAATATTCCTGAGGGCAAGATAAGCCGAGCAGATCAATCAAAGTATTAATTCGACATGGACTATTCAAGCTTTTCAATCCACAACTGAGCTCTTTGTCCTGGTATGTTTGTACTAATCATACAGTCTACCCCGCTTTGATGTGAAACATGCTAGGTCTGCAGGTGATTGTAATCAAGGAGTGCTGGTGGTGGTGTGAATAGTGTGGCTGTCGCTTCCAAATCAGAAAAAAACATTAAAAAATAAATAAAAAGGGTGAACATGTTAATTAGTAATAATAGTGAAGAGGATGCTTATCAGACTATCAGTACATATATCTCTATCGCAGTCAACAACTCGCTATTAGTGGTGCTGGTGGTAGCGGTGAATAAGCAGATAATCAAGAAATAGCTTTCTAGAAGACTGTCCTTGTCGGTACATTGATGCTACATTTATATACAATTTATGGACAAGCAAGTTTGCTAAAAAATTGTTTAATTAAGAAGCTTCCATTTATAGATGGTAATTACACTATTTTTATATCTTTTAATAGTAATTAACATGAAGAAGAAAATGCATAATTTTTTTTTGATTGAGGGAATGGGGATTAGACGATTAATTGGGTAGGTGAGTTTAGTTATTGACATTCTAAAAGAAGTTATTTATTACTAACACAATATCTCAGTTTGTAATCCCAGTGAAATTAATGAATGGTTGTAATTCACCTCATAAATTGGTGAGCAAGGCAGAAGTGGAAAAGTACAGTGGGGGAACAAAGGATTAGTTGAAGGTAGTAAAGGTTCCATACGATTGAAAAGGAAAAGGAAGGTGAAAGATATAATTTGCACGACGGTGACGCTACCTCTCACTTAATTTCTGTAGCAAAACCATAACCCAATTACACAATTATTAACTTGAAATTTATGAAATTTGTGATTGATCATATAAAAATTTGTTAATATTTTTATTAGCCTTACACCCAATTACACAATTATTATTCTATTCAATTTGTGGAAGGGAAAGGGAAAGAAAACATTTTCTCAATTGAAATTAACAATTTAGAACAAGATAAGGAGAATTGAACTGAACTCTCTTTTTTTTTTCATATTCCTATTTTCTATCTTTTGTACTTGAAAAAATGATTTTATTATAATGAAATTAATTAATTAGTACAAGTTTTTAATTCCAAGTTTAGATATTGAATATTGACTGAGGACCTAACTTAAAAAACCATAAATTCCTAATTATAGTCCCTAAAATAGGGCTGTCTATACAACTAAGCTTCACGCTCGCAGCCAATCATGATAATTTGGGACATAAATCCAGCATTAATCTCATCCTTTCTCGATTTTCTTTCCTTTTTTATTCATTATTTTCCGGGAGGCAAAAAAGAAATTACTTAAAAAAATTAAAGGTTTTTTAATTTCTGTCAAAAAATTATTTCTGAAAAAAGAAATACAGTTTATTGACTTTGACCTATTTATTTGATCCCCAAACGGTGCCTTTAGGAGGGCCCCCATTTCGGGAGGAGGCAGCGAATCAAGATCCAACCTTTAATCTGGGCCCCTTATCAACCCAATTCCCAAGTCCAAACCCGACCCATCAGCCCTTCAAATATCAAACACAGTCCTCTGTCTTTCTCTCACTCACTTCATTTCTTCCCCCCTCTAACTCTCTCTCTCTCTCTCGCTGTAAACAATGGAGCCTTGGCTCGACGACTTGGCCGACGATCTCCAAAGCCTAAGCTTCACCTCCACTTCCACCGCAACCATAAACCGCAGCACCAGCTCTGGCTCCGCCTCAAACTCCGGCTCTTCCTCTCTCGCTCCCTCAGCTCACGGGTCTTTTTCTTCCAAACCCCTCCGCTCCGGCTCCCTCTCCCTCGCCGACCTACGCTTTTCGCTCCGCCTCGGCTCCGGCGACATCGGTTCCGTCTACTTAGCCGAACTCAAATCGCCACCCCCACCTCCCGACACCAATGCCACCAACTCAAACGAAAACAACGGCAACAGCAACAACAACAACAACAACATCAACAACAAGAAAAGCGAAGTCGTTTTTGCGGCGAAAGTGATGGACAAGAAAGAGCTAGCGTCCAGGAGTAAAGAAGGGAGAGCCAGGACTGAGAGGGAAATACTCGAATTACTTGACCATCCTTTTTTACCCTCGCTTTTCGCCGCTATTGATTCTCCTAAATGGCTTTGTTTATTGACGGAGTTTTGTCCAGGTGGCGACCTGCACGTCCTCCGTCAACGTCAACCTCTAAAACGTTTCCCTGAATCCGCCGTCAGGTACAACTTCTCCGTTAGCCGTTAACGTCTTTTTTATTTTTTAAAAAATATATTTTTTTTAAAATTTTCGTTTATGGATTTTTGAGAGTGATTGATCGGGGGGGAATGGGCTCACAACCTGGTGGACTGTCAGGCGGGGTGGGGTCCAGTTGACTGTTTCTCGCTATAATTCGGATCAGATCATTTCGTTATTCTGGTTATGACAGACGGTAGATCCGGGTTGGCTATTGTGGTCAAAACGTGTTATAGATTTGACCATTTTAGCATGTTAGCCAATAATTTGGGGACGCGTATTTTAATTACTGATATGGACTCTAGTGCCTAGAATATCGCATCCATGCCACCGTTTGGTTTTGGGGTACGAGGGCCAATTAATGCACATGTTTCCTTTCTCGTGCCCAAATGCAAAATGGTGAATTTTGGAAGGAGTTCAGTACTTATTTAAGATTAGATTTGTCTTCGAGAGAGCTAGCGCAATCACGCGGCAGGGTCGTATGATGAGCCGATGATTTAGCTTCTTGCTAGATTAATTATTACTCTTGTACTATGTGCTAGTACGATTATTTTTTGGGGCTTAACTTTGGTACTCCTTTAAGAATATATTAATTAAAATAAATGTTACCAAGGTTTGCATGTGTAGTACTTATTAAGAAATTAGGATGCACGTTTCTAAAATTTATAAATAAATCGTCCGAATTGATTTTGGTTAAAATTTCGGAAAAAGAAGGTAATATTGCAGTAGTTATGTTAAGGAAATTGTTGCACGAATGATATGGGGTTGGACTGTAATTAGTACTATTTGGTAGTCTAGAAAATGAGAAATTAATGAGAATAGGATTACCACTAGAGCAAGTTGTGCATCTTATAGTAGTATTATCCTTAATATGCATTTCATGATAAAAAAGTACCCAGCAGTTTCTCTTTCGGCGGCTGTGTTAGTGGGAGTAACTAGTGACTAGTGAGGCCATACATGCATGATGCATGTCTGTTAGTTGTGATCAAACAAGAATTTTTTCCCCTTTTGTTTGATCCCAGGAAATCTGAATCAAGTAATCTGAATTCCCTTTTCTTTTGCTGGATTTCTGGGATTTGCTTTTGTAAGTTTAAGCTTTGATGACGGTAGACCCTGTTTTTTTCATATAGCTCTCTGGCCTTTCTGACCTTTTCTTGTTAGTCTCCTGTCCGTGCTACCTAACCATTCAATACTAGTAATGACGACGATGATAAGATGCTTATATAAGCACCAATTGTTAACTGGACTTTTAAAGGATTTATATTCAGCAAAATAAGGTTAAAGAGAGGACAACAAATCTTCTTGCATATCTTTTCGCTTTGATAATGAGTAGTCACATGCATGATTGATAGCAAATGTTTGGGTATGCATTATACAATAATACATATGATTGATAAGGAATAATTCTTTATATTTATACTGTAATCTTATTTACCATTTATTTCCTAGTTCCATTTCCAGTAGATTCATAAGTAAATTCAATTGTTATTTGATACTCACTCCCGCTATATCTTTTATTAGGATTCCACTGAAAACGAATCAGATTCAGATATGTTCTATACTTTTGTGAGCATTATGTCATTATAAGACACACGCAAATACTAGGGAACATCTAGGAAGAGAGCAATGTGAATATGCTGCAAGATAAGGACACAAGTTAGAGAAACTTGTCATTGCTATATATGCTTCTCCATTCTTGATTTGAAAGATTTTTGGCTCATACCATTTATGTGTTGCATGAAAAGATTCTGAGGGGAGCTTGAAAAAGAGACACGTAGGTCCCTTGTAGTATGCATAATGCAGTAGAGGTAGAAGCAAGATAATTTCTTGTCTAGTTTAGTGTGTAAATCAAGTTTAAAATCGCAGTGGATAAATAATAGTCGTAGTTGGTCCTTATGTCCCTTGGCTAATGTGATCAAAAAGTACATGACACTCTGAGCATCTCAATTGTTTTCTTGTCTGCAATTGTTATCGATAAAGGAAAAGAAAAAGGGTATATCTCTCTCCTAATCTCCAGGTATCCGTGGACCCTGGCTCAAAATTGTAGTATCATGAGGTTGTTGATCTTGATTACTCTAGTGAAACAATGATGAAACTGAATAAATTATAGGTAGTTGGTTGCTTTTGTTGGTTGGTTCTGATATTTAATACAAGATTATATTTCCTGGTGTCTGCAGGTTCTACGCATCAGAGGTGTTGGTAGCTCTAGAGTACCTTCATATGTTGGGGATTGTTTACCGTGATCTAAAGCCTGAAAACGTGCTTGTTCGATCAGACGGTCATATTATGCTGACGGATTTTGACCTCTCGTTAAAATGCGATGATTCCACACCAACACCCCAGATTATTTCTGACCAGAAACCACCAGTTCCAGCTCTGCAAAGCGACTATCCTATTGACCATCCTCCTTTCACATCCTCTTCATGCATTATCCCAAATTGTATAGTACCTGCTGTGTCATGTTTCCACCCAAAACGCAAACGCAAAAAGAAGACTGGCCACCGCGGTGGACCTGAATTTGTGGCCGAGCCCATTGATGTCCGGTCCATGTCTTTCGTCGGGACCCACGAGTACTTGGCACCGGAAATTGTGTCCGGTGAGGGCCATGGCAGCCCTGTGGATTGGTGGACGCTGGGGATCTTTATGTATGAACTGTTTTATGGGGTAACACCATTTAAGGGTGTGGACCATGAATTAACCTTAGCTAACATTGTGGCTCGAGCCCTTGAGTTCCCTAAGGAACCCACAGTTCCTGCGGCGGCTAAGGATCTAATTTCCCAGCTACTGGTCAAAGATCCGGCAAGGCGGTTAGGGTCCACGATGGGTGCGTCAGCCATCAAGCACCACCCATTTTTCCAAGGGGTGAACTGGGCATTGCTAAGATGCACGCACCCACCATATGTACCACCACCATTTAGTAGAGAAGTTGTATCAGACGAAAGCTGTCCAGAGACCCCGGTGGACTATTATTAGGTGAAGTAAAGAAATGAGTAAATAAGAAAAATTCAAGAATCCCGATAGCATTCATATAACCGGTGATAATGATTTTTGGAATCATCCTCTTTTGGCAAAGCACGTTGCCAACTGCTCATGCCGCCATTTGGGGGCCATCTATAACGCAGGCATTTGTAAATTCACTTATATATTATATATGAGATTAAAAGACTGAAAACTTCATCTCTACTAACGTGGCAGGGTATCATTGGCTAGGGGGACAAATGATTCAGGTTTGTAAGATTTGTTATCATGACAACGACCCCTAACATATTCATCAAAACTCTTTGTATTGTTAAATTGCGTTTTGTATCCGACTTTCACTCGCAGCATTGTCCCATATTTCATATTTCATGGCAGCTTATTGACGGATACATACAAATGAGATAATCTTATAAATCCGTTTTAAGGTCATCTATGTGTTGAGGTCAATGCCGGAGCATTGGATCCCGACAATGCATATGAACACAAATACCCATATTGACTTGGGGAGGGGAAAGCCAGTGGTGCAGCGTGATAGGCTGTCCACCGATCACGGGTGGGGGGACCGGAGAATGGGCATAAGCATGAGGGAGGAGAATTGCTGCTTTGTTTGTGTGTGTTTGGTTGTGAAAGAGCATTGCCCCCACCATGTGATCTTGTTTACAGCGCAGGGAAAATGTGGGTCTTTGGCATGAGGGCAATTTCAGTTTTCCCTTCAGATAGGGCTCTCTCACATGATCCCTGCGTACTTTCCATTACATGATGCCATCAAAAGGTTTAATTTTTCTCCCTCGTGTTACTTTTTTTATTGGCATATAGTGCAATCGAGCCATTCTGGGGTATCTAAGCAGTTAATAGTAATACTACTTTATCTTTACAACTTCGTCTGAAAGTTGGACATATATCCTTGTCAGATGTTTTTAATGAGGAGATTGCTTTTGTCTTTTTCTTCCGTCACAGCAGAATTTAGTTTCAACTTCAACCTTCGGTTTAGCATTGTTCATTTCCAAATACCCAAATTTTAAGCATGACAAATTATCTAATGATGAGGGCTCTTTCTAATTATAAAATTTAAGATGTGTGTAATGGTTATATAGCATGAGTAGGAAGCATGCATGCCTAACTCTCTCTCTTTTTTCTTCTTCAGCATGTCAGAATTGTTTTTGTCGTATTAGGCCATGCAACAAAACTCCATTCACTTCAAATTAGGAAACACTCACCTCAAGAAGAAAAATGAGAGATGGAGGTGACACTGACATCTCATGCAGATTTGTTTCCTGCCCTTACGTCATTTCATTTTTAACCTTTGATTGGTCGTTCCTTCGGATGGGCTTTGTTATTCTTTTCTTCAGCAAAGTAGTCTTATCTTTGCTATCATCGTCGACAATGCTTTTCTAATTCTTGTCTCCCTGGAAGTTTCTACCACGCAAGTCAAATCAATGCCCGCCGCACAAAATTAAATGCTTTTCTCATTTCAAATTCCCGTTGGGCTAGTTTCTTTCGAGCAGAGAACATATGGCCTAATGTTGAACCCATTGGGCTAAGATTTGACTTAGCGGATCCTTGATTTGGGCTCATTAGTTGAGCCCATTGACCTAAACTCCCTCTTCTTCTTCATCTCTCTGTGTCCCTCTACGTATCTCAGAAGGGAAAAAAGAGGAAAGGGTGAAGAGGAAAAAACGCAGATGGAAGAACCACAAAACGGCAACGCGAATTTGAGTACAGCCGGGAAGGACGAGGAGCCGGTAATAGGACCCGGGCCCGCCACTCGTGCTCGACCCAAGCGTCCGCTCCTGTTCGAACAAGCATATCTCGATTCCCTTCCTTCAGCTAACATGTAACTATCTCCATTCTCCGCGTCTTCAGTAACTCTCTCTTTTTTTCAAAGCAATTATCTATTTATTTGGTGCAATTTTGAAGTTTTATCATGGATTAATTAGTGTTTTATAAATTCCGTATTATTTTCATTTCTGTGGGGTTTAGGGTTTTAGAATTCGAGCTTTGTGCTTTTTGTTTCCTGAAGTTAAAAAGAAGAAGAAGAAGCAAATAGCAAGACTTGATTTCTTACTAGTATAAGGCAAGTTAATAGATTGAAGTTGTGAACAGAGGTAAGAATTCTTGATTTATGGCTTTATTGTGCTTTGCAGGTACGAGAAAAGTTATATGCATCGTGACGTGGTTACACATGTTGCTGTATCATCTGCAGAGTTTTTCATTACTGGAAGTGTTGATGGTGAGTTATATGATGTCAACATCGATAAACAATGTCTAAAAGACCCTTTTCTCATGTTTACTTCAAGTAAAAATGTTTCCTCTTTTGTAATATAAGTTTTTTTGGTTTAATTTTATTAGTAAAATTTGAGGGTTTCCCCATGTAGGGTTTTTGGGTACTAGTACTAATATTAATTCCTCATTGATTGCTGAGATAAAGAATTTAGCTTATGCCTTTGCTGATTACTTGGTGATTGGCCTTCAAATTGTTTATTTATTATTTTAAACCAGGCCATTTGAAATTTTGGAAGAAAAAGGCTATTGGGATCGAGTTTGCAAAGCATTTTAGATCCCACCTGGGTCCCATTGAAGGTTTAGCGGTGAGCTTTTCTCCTTGTATGACTGTATGAATGTTTTGTTTAAACTTTCTTTCTTTCTTTTTTTTCTTCAATTGATTCACGCTTTAGTTAATAGTATTTTTGCATGTAGCTTAATGTAGGTATATTACATGGACATTAATAATTGCATACTGCTGATTGGCCTGCATCATTGTTTAGTCTTTATTATTATATAGGACTACTACGAAAAGTTGAACTAAACATTGGTGTTAATTTGATCTGTTATGGCAGCCACTATGAATTGCATTAAGTAATTTCTAATTTCTCTGTCTAATTTCATTTGTCACAGCTTTCTTATTAAATAGTGAATCCTTATTTTGTGGATAACGTGCCCATGGTTACTTTAGGTTGCAAGTCCACCCAGGCTTTGCATGGTCTATTTATTATCTTCTGTAATCCTGTGACTTTTGCTTTCTATAGGTATGTTGATCTTTATGTTGGTCCCATGATTGTTTTTTGAAGACATTTTCAAAATACTCAATTTAGAGGACTATACTGACTTAGTTATTGTTTTAATCGTTCATTTCTTCAAGAGCCATGAATTTATCAACAACTTCAGGCATAAGATTTTTAAGTGTTATGTTATTATAACATGAAAGCAAATGTTGCCTCAAAATTCAAAACTACAACAATTAAAGACTTTTAATCAGTATGGTTTAGTTTTACTCACCTCTCTTTCAATAGTTCCTATATATGTGGCTTTGATGTGAAAGATAAATTTCTCCAAAGTGAATGGTTGAATTCTATGGATGTTTGTGCATTCTGTGGTTGTGGTTTGCTTGATTTGTTTTATCATTCAAACTTTTTTTCATTTGAAGCTGCATATCCTTTAGCTTTCTTTAGTCTTTTTCATTATTTATTCGATTTTCTGTTAGCTTGTTGCAGTCATCAACCATGACTTGTTCAGCTATGCAGGTTAGCGCAGATGGTTTGCTTTGCTGTACAATTTCCAATGACCATTCTGTGAAGGTATATGACGTGGTCAACTATGACATGATGGTGATGCTTCGCCTACCTTATGTTCCTGGTGCTGTTGAATGGGTCTACAAGCAAGGGGATGTTAAAGCTAAGCTCGCCATTAGTGATAGAAATTCATCATTTGTTCATGTATATGATGCACGAGCTGGTTCAAATGAACCTATCATCTCAAGAGAGGTATCTGAACTATGTTGAAAGCATGCGCGATTTAGAATTTTAAACTCTTCCACCTTTTATTTAATTTATCATCCATGAAAATGTCTATATAGCCACACATATGCACACATTTATTATATGTTTACATTTATTTGTATGATTAACAATTTCTGCTTTGTTTTCTCTGTTTGAACTCATAATTTCCAGATACACCTGGGCCCAGTAAAAGTAATGAGGTACAATTCTGTATCCAACAGTGTAATATCTGCCGATGAGAAGGGAATTATCGAGTATTGGAGCCCTGCCACACTTCAGTTCCCTGAAAGCGAGTATGTGCTGATGTTCACATATTACCATTAGCAATGTACTTTTATTACAGGGTTGAGTTACATTTTTCAACAACCATTTACAGATGAAGTTCTATGTTTTGTTTGGATTACTCTAGAAACTTTCTTTCCATTGCTAAAGAGAACAGACCAATGCTGTAGTCTGATTGTGGTATAGACACGTTGAGCATTTCATTTGTAGGTGCACATTAGTTTTCCATTTCTTGATTTTAAGATGTGGTGCATGCAGGGTCAATTTTAGATTAAAAAGTGATACTAATCTCTTCGAAATTGCAAAATGCAAGACGACCATTTCTTCGATTGAGGTACAATCTATACTTATGATTGAAGTTGGTTTTCTGTGGATTTTATGGCTATAATTCTTTTTTTTGTATGTTTTTGTAAAGTTTCAATTTTTGATTTTAAAATCTCATTTTAAAGGAGATTGCTATGAATACTGTATTTTATTCCTGTTCAGGTGAGCCCAGATGGTAAGCAATTTTCTATTACCTCACCTGATCGTAGGATACGAGTCTTTTGGTTCAGAACTGGTAAATTAAGGCGAGTTTATGATGAATCGCTTGAGGTAAAATTATTGAATGGTTGTTTTTTCATATAGCTGCTTTTGGAATTTTTTATGATGTTTAAAACTCTTCTTATTAGGTGGCCCAAGATCTTCAGAGAAGTGATGCTCCCATGTATCGGCTGGAAGCTATCGACTTTGGTAGAAGAATGGCTGTTGAAAAGGAAATGGAGAAAACTGAAACTGCACCACAACCCAATGCAGTTTTTGATGAAAGCTCTAATTTCCTCATATATGCTACCCTTCTTGGGATTAAAGTAAGAAGTTAATTTATTGATAATGGATTCTACATAAAATAACTAGCTGACCCATTTTTTGTAACCAGCAGTAAGTATAAATGTTTTATACTCTCTTCATTCTCTTATAATTCCTTGTTTTTTCCCTTGTTTATCATTTTTGATAGATGGTAAATTTACACACCAACAAAGTTGCTCGAATACTTGGGAAGGTGGAGAGCAATGACAGATTCTTGAGAATTGCATTATATCAAGGAGATCGAAGCAGCAAGAAAGTAAGAAAAATTCCTGCTGCAGCAGCAAATGTCAATGAGAGCAAAGAGCCATTAACTGATCCAACACTCTTGTGTTGTGCTTTCAAGAAACATAGGATCTACTTATTCAGGTATAGGAATATGCTATAAGACTTCTACTGACTGATAACGGCATGTTTGAATTTAGAATTTTCCTTGTAATGTATCATGCTGCAAAGGCTGAGTTCTAAACACTACATGGTTGAATCAGCGTAGAAAGATTCATGTTATTGAAGTCTGAATTGATGTTGGATTATTGATGTCATAGGCTCATAGCAATACGTAAATTTGGATAACAAATTAAGCTTCATAGTGTATTGACATCTATATTGAAAACATTGTAACATGTTTGGTTTGTGTGCCTTTGTAATTGTTGTTTCTTTGAAAATAAACTTCACCATGACAGTTGAGGTGCCTGTTTACGTTTTTCTGGTTAAAGTTATGATTTACCTTTTGAATACATTTGATTAACTTTGATGGTTTTTAATGGTTTATATAGTCGACGAGAACCAGAAGAACCTGAAGATGCAACAAAAGGAAGGGATGTGTTCAATGAAAAGCCACCTGCTGATGAGCTTCTGGCTGTATCTGACGTTGGAAAATCAGTTACAACATCTCTTCCTGACAATGTGGTGAGTTTTCTTTCTGTAATGTGCATGGGATGGGCAGACAAGAAATGCTTATGACCTCCCTAGTTCCATTCATTATGATAACAATAAGAACGTTTAAAAAAACAAAATTTAATAAAAAATGAGAGAGTGTTGTTTGGATCTTTGAGAGCATAAATAAAATGAATGACATTCAAAAACAATTTTAAAGTTTATCTAAGAATGGTTTAGCTTGAAAACTCTTTAAGAACAATGTTATCACAGTGGACCAAAGGAACTCCTTCATAGCCCTCCCTCTCTTTTTCTTCTCCCTTTTCTCTACATGGACATAACCAAATCATTAGTGTCCTAGAAGTTACAAGGTTATTGGCATGTAGGAAACAGTTAATTAGTAGAAAATCTTTATTGGATAGTGTCAACATTTTCTAATTTTCCTGAAAATGGCCAAGAAAAATAATTTAAAATGAGGTTCGAAAATAGTTTTTGCCTAAATCAGTGCTAGTTTTACCATCCTTCTCTTTTTCTTCCCTCTTTTTTCCAGGGTAGGGTTAATTTAAGGTTTCTCATTTCTGACATACTTTAGTTTATTTTATCTACTTTATGTGCATGTCTTGCATTCTTTCCTGATTAGCTCTGTTCTTCCAGATACTGCACACCACAATGGGTGATGTTCACATGAGACTCTACCCAGAAGAATGTCCAAAAACTGTGGAGAACTTTACAACACACTGTCGGAATGGCTATTATGATAATCTCATCTTTCACCGTGTAATCAAAGGATTCATGATACAAACAGGAGATCCATTGGGAGATGGCACTGGTGGACAGTCTATTTGGGGAAGGGAATTTGAGGATGAGTTTCACAAAAGGTAACCATTTAGGTTTTTTGTGACGCAATTGGCTTTCTATAGATGTTATTGTAGATACAGTTGATTTGGCATTAGGCTGGAATTTATATGATAAACAAGGATGCAAGTATCTTTGAATTTGTAGACTACCTGCCTGTTTAATAGTCATGTTACTCTTAAGGTTATGAGGATCACTTAGTCTCATGGCATGCTACGGTTGGCATTATATATTTGATTTCTAAGGTGCATTATATTTCAACTGACTGTTGGATGAAACATTCTGTCCCTGCAGCTTACGACATGACAGGCCTTTCACTGTGTCAATGGCTAATGCTGGCCCTAATACAAATGGTTCTCAGTTCTTTATAACCACGGTGGCTACTCCGTGGCTGGACAATAAGCATACGGTATTTGGGAGAGTCATTAAGGGAATGGATGTTGTGCAGGTATATACTAGAGCATACATCTCTGCAGTGAGTATTATATGGATATTGTCACTGTTGTAGTTTATTACATTCATCTTTGTGCACACATGGGCACACATGAGAGGAGGATTCTATATGTTTTATTGACTCTGCTTTTCTTGAAAAGATGAAAAAATTATAAATTGGAGGCTTAGGGTTAATAGGCTCCATATGTTGAGATTTGGAACCTTAGGATGCACAGTGTCTTGGTATGTTTAATATAGATTTACCAACATACGTGATTCTCATGCACTGTTGGCAGGCTATTGAGAAAGTGAAGACAGACAAAGCTGACAAGCCATATCAAGATGTAAAAATCTTAAATGTTACTGTCCCAAAATCCTAAGAGGTCATGTCTGTGGTGAGTCTTTCTGGATATTGTTGTGACCTGCATTGACAATATTGGCCACAGGAGACTGTCTCAGGCAAGGTTTTTGTTTGTTTTGCTGTTATTCCTTTTACTACTGATCCGTGTTAATTTTTTCATTTCTCTAATGTTCATCTTCCATGTATATACATATGCTAATTTGTTTCAACTAACTCCATGCTAGCACAATTTATCAGTCCAAAATTTTGCTGTTGGCTCACATTTTGTGTTACATTGCCAGGTACATCAGGCTCACACATGATTGGAAATTGAGGTTTTTCCCCCCGTTATGTAATCATAGGATCAAGAGCTCTTGATCTTCAGTGTGCTGTAACGTGTCTGAATTTTGACTTTTGGTCAATGTACAATAGTTTCCCTGTAGAATTGATGTTCAATGTTTCATGGTATTGGTACCAAATTTGGGTATAGGTTATTTTTAGCCTGGTAACAAATTCCTTGAGTTAAATGGAGGAATTTAGTTGTCTCTTTCTAAAACTGACATGATTTTGCATCTGATATGGTATACTCTTCTTTTCTTTTTTTTTTGGACATTGCAATTATTGTTTCTCGGGGGCGGGGGTGGGGTTGTGTAGATAAATAATGGACTAAAAGAGAGGAGAGTGTCTGTGTACAGATGGAACTGAAGAAAAATAAGTGACGTTTCTTCCGAACCAGTCACTAGTTAGGCATTCAGTTTGTTGTCACTATTGTTATCTGACAATGGTGAGTTCAAGGCAGGTGCAGAAGCAGAACTGGCGTTTTCAATCATATGCAAAAGTGTAGAGACGGGACAGGCTGAGAGCTATTATTCCTCTAAATGCGTACAACATTGGAATTTTTGCGTATCAGCAATACTGTACATGGAAAGACAAAATCTCCATTCCAAGCGCCAACTGCAACTATGGTTGGAAATAGATGGTGGATAGATTTTTCTTGTAAAATGGAATATTATTAGTATGAGAGAGGTGAGTGGGGAAAAGAGACATGCAGTCGGCTCGTCCTAACCTCAATAACATTGGACAACTTCGGCTCACTACACCTTTTCATTCCGATTAACACTTGAGACGTAAACGAAAATTGTTCCTATTTTTAGGTGAGGTCCAATTGAACCCAACCCTTAGAGGATAAGCTTTGAATGGCAAAACAAAACAAAAAAAAAAAAGAGACATCATTTTCAATTTGACTAATGACTTATCCAACCAGCCAGGGAGACTACTCGCTGGCTGTCCATTTCATTTTCACCATAGGACTAGAAGTGCCAAAAATTAGAGGAATTTAGTTGTCTCTTTACTAGGACTTTGGCATGATTTGGCATCTGACTAACATATAATATATATATATATATATATATTATGGTGTACTTGTGCCGTTTAAATTAATTAATTTATATACCTTTCCTTTAACAGAAGCAAAATTATTAAATTACAAATTCTACACACTTCTCTTTGACCATGCCAAATATGGTAGCTTATCTGTTCAAAAATTAATCACTTACCTTTTTATTCAATGTGAAACTGTCCAAATAATTAATTATAAACATCCTTTTCATTTGCTTCGAGCCGTTTTTCTTCAGTTTTCTTTCCTCCTAATTCAGTATAAATTGGCATCAATGTGGAAGGTTTTTTATTAACTGTATGCTGCAAAGGGAAGAAATTATGGACAACTAATGATTGAACTACATGACTGCTTCTCCGATACTATTTTTCCCTTGACATAATTGCATATATTTATCTACCTCATATACACACACATATATATATGTATATGTTTTATTCCAACAGTTAAATGTGCTGCAAAGACATGCATACAACTAAAATGCATTGTCAAATTGTTAATTTACCTCTTAATTTCATTATAACTTAACTTTAGAAAATAATGGCATACATAATTCTAGTAATTGCCCCAAATGCTTTCTCTCCCTCCTCTTCATTTACCCCATAGCCTAGAAGAAATAGCAGGATAAATTATATGAGGAGGGTCGTTGGGAATGTTTTATTTGTGGCCCCAATACTAGTAGGCGTAGGCTAGGGTTTTAAGGGTGCGTGGTGCCGATAATCCGTGTACAGAGGCGCGTGGTTATTGTTTTTGTTGTCTTATCTGTCATTTTGTTTGTAACTGATCTGAGTATTAGTGCAGCTATGACTGCCAAACCAGGACGACGCTGCCAGTTTAGATTTCAGTATTCTCACTACAAATGTCCCTGCGCCTATACGCTTATACATGTATGATCCTCTCTTTCTTCATGTATATATACCCTTAATACCCTCACATAGTTCCTCAACCCTCTGACAAATGGTGTGTACGTCGTTGAAAAAGCAAGAGAGAGACTGAGCTTAGCTTTACAGAAAGAAACGTTTACGCTTTCTCCCTATATTTGTCTCTTCTTGCCTTTCACGTTTCTTTGTATCCATCTCTTTATCTCTGCAAAAGAAGAAGTAGAAGAATAAAAAATGGTGGGGACTACTCTTTCCCAAGAGCTTAAGAACTACATCCAGTCCATGCATGATCAGGTTGTGTTTCTGTTTTCCGTTTATATATATATATTCTGCTAGAAAATGGTTCAAAAGTGTTTTTTTTTCCCTTTTTTTGATGTGTTCTCTTCATTGATTTTCTGTTTTAAAAGATGTTTTTGGGTTTACTTCACTTTGCTTTCGTTTCCTTGTTGAAGAAATTAAGGGATTTGCCGTTGCATGTTGCTCTACCTTACACAGCTGTGTTCTACCATGGGAAAAAACATAGACAAAGCGAAAACAAGGCCCCAGAGATGTTTATGTTTCTAACCTTTTTCCATTGTTTAGGTGTTCTTTGGACCTAACTAGATCGACTCAAGGAAGTAGTAAATATAGAAATCATTAATGAATCAGGCTGGTTATGTTAATGATGTTAATGTTAGGAACTGAAGTAAGATAAAGAGTAATAAACTCGTTTGAAAGATCTTCACTTTGTTTTAATTTGTTTTGTTTTGGTTCCTTTTAGGGCGTGCTTGATCATCACTTCGACCATGTGAAGGCGTTGCAGAACGAAGAAAATCCTCAGTTTGTTATGGAAGTGATCTCCATGTTCTGCCAGGATGCTGAGATTGGCATCGCCGAAATCACCAGATTCCTGTATGTTTTACTTCACAAATTTCATCGTTTTTACAGTAACTGGTTTCGATCTATATATATATATATATATATTTATAACTAATATGCACTTGATCTATATATGAACAGGAATGCACCCGTTGTGGACTTTGCCAAGGTGATCAACCTTGTTCACCAGCTCAAAGGCAGTAGCTCAAGGTATCTCAGATTTATTCCGTAAATGAGAAGGGATTTTCATAGCTAATTATATTATGCCTTTTTTTCATCTCTTTAGCAAAAAGAATCTATATATATGAACGTGATAAGGAATGTAACTATGATCATGCATCCTAAAGAGAATATTTACGTGTCTATTCATATGATCATGCTTCTTATCTAGAATATTTACATGTCTATTCATAATATGAGGTATATCTATGTAAAATAACAATGACATTCATATTTAAATATATATATTTATATACGCACACATAAAATATAGTAAATTTTCACAAGGCAATCACTAATTAGGTATATTTTTTTGAATTTGGACGTGTTTGTGCACGAAGAGTTTCATTAGACGTTATAAATATCTCAACAAGATCGATCTTTTAACAATTGATAAACATGTCATAAATGATTTAAATCCAAACTATTTGGAATTAAAAATCTTTTTAAAAATTTAAACACGCGCTTATAGCGCGTGTGACGCATGTATTATTTAAATCATTAAAAATTTAAATGAAATCGATCATTTGTAATTCGTATACACGTGATATAATTAATGACTTAAATCTAAAAACATTTGAAAGTAAGACTCTATTTATATAAATTAAATACTTATTATCATTACTTATAAAACAAAAGGTTACGAAGATCTACAATGTTTTTCCTTTCATGTATATTAACTGGTCTCATCATATTTTTCTATGGCTAATAATTTAATTACCTCTTATAATATACGATGCATTTTAATCGTATGAATTACACAGCATCGATCTTAACTTCCACTCCTGCAATTTTTGCCCACATAGAAGTTCCTTACTAATCCATTACATTTCTCAAATAATTATATACACTGAATTTATTTAATGGTAAATGTATGTATTAATATTATGTTATGCATGAAATCATACAGTATCGGCGGTCAAAGGATGGCCCTTGCTTGTCGCGAGCTTCGACAAGCCAGTGAAAACAGGGACAAGGAGAGGTAACAAGTGTTAAATTAATTTGTTAACTTACCAAATTGTTATTTCAATTATATATATATATATATATATATATAATCATAATCTTTTTAATTAAGATTTGTGCTATGTATGCTTCTATGTAGGTGCCTGGAAATCTTTGAGAGGATGAAACAGGAGTACAATACACTGCGGGGATGCCTCAATGCCATATCCCAGGTAATGCGTAATTATAATGTGATATATTTGGTAAAAACTTTGAAATAATAATAAGCTGTAAAGAATGTACCTTTTATCACCAAACAAAAGGGGAACAATAATTTTCATCCCAATTTTTTTTCTTTTAACAATAGTTTTTTTTTACCAAATTATGATATTTGTTAAGAGACTATGAGGTGATATGAGGATTTATTTTAAGTTTGGCTGGTTTAGGTGATAAGCTTTTGGATTAGGGTTAAAAAGCATCTCTCAAGAAACACACGAGAGATAAAAAAAAAAAAAAAACTATCACTAGAGGTCTAAATCACAACATTATTCTTCATCATCAAGCATACTTTTGATAAAGTCAATACATTTCAATCCAGTTAACATGTTTTATATATACATATATATATATATATATGTATATGTAGGCATCTACGTATGCATATGTATCCTCACCCTAACAATGGTTTTTTTCTTGTTAATAGATGGAGAGAACCATCCTCGAGAATGAGACCAGACGCCGTAACCCATAGCAAGCTCCTGATCTGTGCTTGCTGCTTTAAGATTTAGGTACCATTTTAGAAGTGGGAGATGGTGTCTTTTAATTTCAGACTGCTTTTGCGGGACTTGTTTTATGCTTTGTTTAAACATTATCTGGTATTGCGTGTTTGCTCTTTATCATGTCTTTTATATATGTGGCTTTGTTGTGTTGGTACCTAAATTAATAATAAACTAGATGTCCTTTTTGTTGTATCAGTTTCTGATATCAAATCCACGCTCCCTCGCGAACATGACTGACTTGTCCGCACCTACATATTATCAGAGCAACTGGTTGTAGAGGTTAATGATGAGTCGTAAAGGTTAGAAGTAACATTTAATTTGCTGAATATAATAGACATGTAGTCATGCACCACGCTAAAGTTGACACCAAGTTCTTAGCCTTCTTCTCTGGAAAGAAAGACAAAGAAATTCCTTAGCCTTCTTCCGTTAAAAGAAATAAAAGGAGTCCTTGGCCTTCTTGGCTACGTCTAACCGGAAACACCCCCATCCTACAGTAATTTTCACATCCTTTAGAATAGAGGACCAGATTTCCATTGATGATCTTATCAAGTAGGCTTCTTCTAAAAGCTCCCTCAACAAATTGTATGAAAAATCAGACTTAAATTTGGTTTAACAGCAAAAGTTCCACTACGAGTTGCTCTTATACATAAGTAAACGAAGATACAAGGGGGCCCGACGGGAGTTGCGGGGGAGTCCTAAGAACTGCGGAAGGTAACATCATTGCTCTCTTCTCCGGTCCCAATGGACTCTCCGATGCCAACAGTGCTGAGGTATGTCCACTGCCTTGGAATTATTCTTTAAATCACCATGGATAGGACACAAACATTTGATTGTAGAGTCTGATTCTAAAAGACTGCAACTTCACGAGTGCAAAACCACTTGAAGAGGCCATGGAAATGCTGGAAATTAAATAGTTCAGTACGTTGATTTATTATGTGACGCAATCGGGAGTGTAACATTTAAGCGTGTTTTCTCGGAGGGTAATCATAATGCGCCGATCAGCTTGCAAAACACGGTGTAAACCGCTTTAATTTGTTCATTGCATGGCTGTATTGTGCTATGTGTTTATGGCTGTAGAGTCTTGGTTTGTGTTATGTGTTTATGGCCGTAAGATAAAACGGTTTTTACATGTTGGTGAGGTGTTTTTCTGGGTCGCCTACTGAAATTTACTACTGTAATGATAAGCAAAACTCCTACATCTTTGTATTTTACAGGGAGGAGTTTGCTGGTGTTGTGTTGCGGCTTAACTGGTTGTACTTGTGCAATTTCATCAATGACTTAACAAAACAAAAATATCAAGCATAATAAAATGAATCCATAAGAAAATCATTTTTCTTTTTTTTTTTAAAAAAAATCAACTAGGCACATTGCGAGGATGTTGTTGGTATATGCCATTGAATAAATTAAATTGGTTAAAAAATTTATATTGTCATTTAATACATATTTAATCGCATAATTATAGGTGATAGAGATTTTTCTTCATGTTAGTACAATAATAAAGAGTTATTAAGTACTAATTGGATGAAGCCCATAAACATAAAGGTTTTGTAAGAGAATTGTAAAATTGTTATAATTATGAAATCATTATGCATCAAAGCAATGCCCCTAAAATTATTGCTGGTCATTGTATTGTCAAGATAGGGCATTGACAATGCTCAAAGACTAGTACATGTTAAGCCTTTTTACTTGGAAAGTAAGCAATCGATCTTATAGATTGAAGGATATGAGATATTTGAGAATAACATGCGGGTGCTTCTTAAAGAACAAGTTCACTGAACATGACCAACTTCATTTGGTATTTTACTCAAGTGTTTATGGAATATATTTTTATGTGATAATCGTGCAATTAGTCTTTAAATTTGAGACACCAAGTCATCTTATATACAGAATGACATACTTTGATTTCACCTCTACGACTCTAGACATGATCAGATGCTTAAATAGGGTGTTTTTGGGTATGCTATAAAGCATATAAAAGTGAATGGGTGGTCAAAAGAGGATTTATCACCCCAAGTAATATGAAGAGATGTATATCAATTGTTCTTAATTCTTGATTAATTTGTATAAATCTTTGACCAAAGCATGATAAATTTAAGAAAAGTTAGTTTCCTAAATTCATAAGGTTTGTCATGAATTATGATAACTAATATAGAATGTCATAAGTAGATACAGAGTCATGCTTTGTGACATATCTGGGATATTTGATGAAAGGATCGTATCGCACTGAGAGGCTTATCACTGAAAAACTTTGTTAAATTTTTTAATTAACTGCAAGATTTAGGCTATAGGATTTCACATTGATTTGTTCTCTTTTCGGGTTACTTGCTTCATTATAAGCTTTTTGGATTTAATTGACTTTTGATTACGATATCTAAAGTAAGGTATGTATATCTTAAAATTATGAATATTCATAATTTATTTAAAAATTACATAAAAAACATAAATATTGATCTTGTAGGATTCGACTATTTCTTTGATTAAATGCATATTTTATTTTTTCACTGCGTTATATTTTTAATTTCTTGATGAATTTCATATTTATGTATGAGGTCAAATACCAGCAGCGGTATCAAAGCCTTTGTTTGATGTTTTCATGTAATTTGCGTACTTGATTCTTATTGATAATCAATAAGATTGATTTGTATGTTGATTTGGTATATACCGATTTTGAAGACTTTCTTTAAAATCTGTTTTTCTGTTTTAATTCAAATCTGGACTATATGTAATTAATTTATTAAAACATGTTTGAAACAGTTTAAAATCATATTTAGTTGTAGAGTTAATGAATGGATTAAAAGGCTTGTAAAGTCATGTTAAAATCAAATAGTTTTGTGCTGTTTTAGAGATTAATATGTCGATTATTTTAATAATATTGAGCAAGCATTATGAGCAGTTTTTAATTGTTAAAAATTAGATTTATCAAATTATATTATTGCATGTTTTAGCAAAACTTGATTTATTATGAAAAGAATCATAAAATCATGTTTTCGGGTTCTAAAACAACAAAGATTCAGTGTAGAAAATTTTGAGCAGCTATGATCAGTTTTGGTGACTTAATTTTTCACGAATTTTGTGTTTAATTGTTAAACACACTGACTGAAAATTTGCAATAACTTTTTTCATGAGTTTGATTCGTACTTTAAATGAAATTTCTAAAGTCGTGTGATAGTATTAAACTTATTTAAAAGTTTGGTTTGACTAAAAGTTTTTAAAATTTGTTCAGTTACTATTTAGGTAACTTGAACAAGATACAATTTAGAAAACTAATTCATGTTCTAAATGTTAGAAATTAAAATATTATCTTAGATATATTTTAGGAAGTTTACCAAAAATAAAGAGGTTTCTAAAATTAAAAGGAGTTTAATTATGGAAAGAATTAAAATGAAAAGTCTTAAAAAGGAAAATTTCATTTCAATGAATTTCTAATAAGAAATAAGAGGCAAAAGGTTTACTTGAAGTGTTTTGAAAATGGAAATTTCTGAAACACTAAATTGAAATAATATAATACCAAATAATTTGAGTCTAGCACTTTAAGCGAATTAATTGATGCTTTGCTCAAATAACACATAAGATCATCAAGTAATATTGAGTTGGCATTTATTTCTATACTTTTGATTGTGATTATAAAGCATGAGGATGATTATGGACTTAGACCTTAAAAGATTAGGTCATGAATGGTTAAATTTATTGCAAAGGATATTTATTTTAAAATAAGGTCTGCGCAACTTGCTTTATTTTTTTTTTCTCTAGGATATAAACTTCTTTTCTCATTTAACTCCCCTCAAATATAACTCAAGGTTTCTTGATTATAAAATGTAATTAGTTACATCAAAGTGTAAAACTAGGGTTAGATAAAAAAAATTTTATAACTTGAAGATGGAGATCTAAAGGTGTTATAGAGATTCAAGTAGATTACAAGCAAAGCTTGAAGATGATGTTTATGTAAATCCCCTAGGAATTTGACCACTTAATTTCCTTAATGGCTAGAATTAGTAAAGTTCATAATTATCCTAGTAGTTGGCATGTAATAGATTTATTTTTCAATTTATATATATATATATATATATGATATATGTGAAATGTGCTAAATGCAATGCAAGTCAACAATGTGAAATCAATAAGACCTTAATTAATAAATTACTAAATAAAATCCCTATTAATATATTGCATCAAAAAGTTACTTTTCACTATATAACAAGATAATTAGGCTATTCTTTTAATTGAAGGCTTGTTGAGATACGCAATGCCAAACTTCTACACAAGTACGTTTGAATTTTTGGTGGATCTTGCTCAACTAGTACCATGTTGTTCAGATGTGTCACACATGTTCGCATATTATTAGAGGCATAGTTAAGTACAATGTACATGATGAATCTTGACAAGGAGTTGTCACCTAATTGAGCTAGGAGTTGTATAAGATATAATTGGTAAGCTAAGTTAAATATTTAATTAGTGTCATTATGGCTTGTTGAGTAACTCAAAGTCATGGTGGGATGAAAGGGATCCTAGCTTAATAAAAAGTTTTGAAGTTGAATTTCTCGAAATATTAGAGAAAGTTATTATTTTGATAAAATATTGAGAATAATCATATAAGATTCTAAAACCTTGTCTTTATAATTACATAATTTGTGTTAATGACTAAGCTTTATATATGTTGATTTATATAGGATCATGGCAAATAGTTTCTCACTTAGAAGCATACTTAGTGCAAATAAGTTGACAAGTCTAAATTTCACTAACTGGTTTCACAATATAAAGATTGTCTTAAAATAAGTGAAAAAGGCTTATGTCCTAAATGTTCCTATTCTTGAGAAACCTAACGATGATTCTACAAATGAGGAAAATGAAGCCTATAGAGTTTATATGAATGATGTCAATCAAGCCACATATATGATGTTGGCTAGTATGGCTTAAGATCTTCAAAAGCAACATGAAGCTATAAATGCCTTGAATATTATCTTAAACCTTAGAGAAATGTTAGACAAGGAAAGTCACATAGAAAGATTCGATATTTCAAGGGAATTGTTTCGATATAGGATGTCTGAAGGAAGCCATTAAAGCCTCATGTGCTTAAGATGATAGGATATATTGCTCGATTTGAGCAGTTTGGTTGAATTATGGATCATGATTTGAGCATAAACCTGATATTTTCTTTGCCATTAGAGAGCTATTCACAGTTTGTGTTGAACTTCAACATGAACAAGATTGAGGTAACCTTTTCAGGCTTATTGAATATGCTCAGATAAGTTGAGAACACCATCGTGAAGGAGAAGCTTTCAGTTCATCTTGTCTTTTCTAAGAAAGATAAAGATAAGAAAAGAAAATTTTATAAAAAAGATAAGGGTAAAAAAACATCAACTTCGAAAGGTATAAAGCCTACTGGAGGAGTAAAGAAAAATAAGGACAATGAGAAATGCCATTTCTGTGGCAAACTAAGGTATTGGAGGCGTAATTGCAAGGATTATCTTAAATCTATCAAAGGGAATAAATGGAAGCTTCCACATTAGGTATGAATCATATGATGATTTATTTTTCACTACTTGGTATATGATACTTTATTCTTTATTATTGATTTTAAATATGTATGACATATTGAAGGAACTAATGACAAGGAGTAGTGAAGAATAAGGTTATGAAGGGAACAACTTTAGTTGATGGTGATCAAGCTTGTTGATCTAGATTAGATTGTGAAACAATAAATAATTTTAAAACATTGAATGTTTTCATGGCATGATTATCAAGATGAGATGTTTTAGTTTTGGACTGATGGCTAAATATTTTATTTTATGTTTAGGAAATATAATTTATATTTTACGAGCATTGGATGCTTAGTTTATATATATTTATATATTTACATAATATCTTATTTTATTTTGAAATTATTTTAAATTATTTATCCTTAAGGATAACTTTGTGTACATGATAATCAATACTAAGTCATAATAATAAGATCATTGTGAGATTATATTTCTTTTGATTATGAATCCAAAAGGAAGTTAATGAGATGACTTAAATAAAATTGAGTCATAACTCAATGAATTCATAATAGGATTATGAACACTTGTAGTTAAAGAGTATTCTTGTTGAGATAAAATATCTAAATTAAGATTGCTTAGAATTAAAAAATAATTGATTATCATATTGAATTCATAAGAGATGAAACACAGAGCATTCCAAACCCAGTTAATCACATGAATTAACTTTTGAGAGGATTTCATCCCGTAACAAATGATAAACAACTTATAATAAGTAAGTGTACAAAAAGTTATGGATATAATGCCCCAAAAGAAAGTAAATAAGTTTACTTAGCAATATTTCTATACATGATAGAAATTGTGGGAGCTAATGACATTTTAAAGGTTAAGAGTTATGAAATTATAAACTCTAATAGATAATATCTATGCACAAAGATTGATTTAATGGTATGTATAATTCATGAGATGAATCTATTAAATACAAACCATTAGTAGGATGTATATTGATGCGCTACTCATATAAGATGAGTCTACTAAATGATCTAACATGAATTATTGGATAATAATCTTTATTCAATAAATTTAAAGTAAGTGAATACATTGAATAAGATAAATATATTTTGTGCAAATTATAAGGTTACTGAGAGTAAGATAAGTTACTCATTAAAAGTGTATAATATACATTTGTCAATCTAAGAAAAATAAAATAGGATTAATGAGTTAGAGCTTAAAAAGGGACTCAACAAAAGAATTTAGGATGACAGGTTAAAAGAGTTTAATATAAAGAGAATCCTAAATGTTAAAAGTGACATAAAGTTATAATTGAGTACATTGGAATGGTTCCAAAATAAGAGATAATTGCATGATTATATCTATAATTGGATACAAACATTTTGCTTAAACTAGAAAAAAGGAGAGATATTTTGATCATTGGTTTAATAAATCAATAAATGATTCCGAGTTGTTAAAGTAACAACAAAAGTCATAATAATGGAATCAAGGTCTTGTTGTGATCTAAATTAGTATTTCGATTATGACAATGGAGATTATCAAACATATAAATTAACATATTTCCAAATATTGCAATTTGAGTTATCCTAATAGAAACACTGTCACTAAGTAAAAGAGTTTGATATTGGATACATTAGTAATTGACTCAAGTGCAAGTGAAAGATTGTTGGTATATATCCTTGAGCAAATTGGATTGATCAAAGAATATATATTGTCATTTAATGCATATTAAATCGTATAATTATATGTGATAGAAGTTTTCTTCATATTAGTATAATAATAAGGAGTTGTTAAGTACTAATTGGATAAATTCCATAGAACATAAAGGCTTTGCAAGAGAATTGTAAAGTTACTTCAATTATGATATCACTATACATCAAAGCCATGTTCCTAATTATTGTATTGCAAAGGCAGGGTATTAACAATGTTCAAAGACTAGTACATATTAAGCTTCCTTACATGGGAGGTAAGTAGTCGATCTTATGGATTGAAGTATATGGGATACTTGAAGATACATGTGGGTGCTTGTTAAAGAAAAAATTCACTGAACACGACCTGCTATAAGAACTCTATTTGATATTTTACTCAAGTGTCTATGAAATATGTTCTCATATGATAGTCATGCAACTAGTCATTAGACTTGAGATATGATGTCATTTTGTATGGAAAATGACATACCTTGATTTCATCTTTATTGGTTTGAAGGCGATTATATGCCTAAATAAGGTATTTTTGGGTATCTCATGAAGTATATGAAGGTGAATGAGTGACCAAGAGAGAATTCATCACCCCAAGTGATATGAGGGGATGTATCTCAGTTATTCTCAATTTTTGATTAACTTGTATAAAGTCTTTGGTCAAAGCATTATGTATTTAAGGAAAGTTAGTTTCGTAAGTTCATAAGATTAGTTATGAATTATAAAGACTAATTTAGGATGTCATAAGTAAACATGAAGTCATGCTTTATGACATATCTGAGATATTTGATGAAAGGACTGTATTGCACTTTGGGGCTTATCACTGAAAGGCTTTATCTAATTTTTTAATTAACTCCCTAATATTTGGATGGTCATGGTGTATTCCTAGAAGCCGCTCATAATTTATATATATTTATACCAATATGTTAGAAGCCTAATGGGTCACAAATTTTAAATAACATGATTAGGATTAAATAAGGATGATCAATTAAGTTAGACTTAATTAGAATAGGCTAAAATAAAGTGAAAAAATTAATTAAGTTCACAAAGACTTAATTGAACTAAAAGAAAACTATTGTATCTAAGGCTACAACTTATATAAATATGTTATGTTAGGAAATTAAAACTCTACACCTTTAGCAGTTTCCTAAAAATAAGAAAAAAATAATAATTTTTTTATCTAACAAAAATAAGATTTGAGAAGATATTTTAATATTTTGTTTTAGAAACAAAACTTGCTAATACAAGTAAAATCTTACCTTTAAAAAAGTCTTATTCAGTTATTGTGTGGATTACTGTTAAAGACCAAACACTTGGGTGACTGAAGATTTGACAAATCCTAAAAGCTAAGAGGCAAGGATTTTAGCTACTTGATTTCACAATGATTTGTTCTCTTTTCCAGTTACTTGCTTCATCATAAGTCTTATAGATTTAATTGGCTCTTGATTATGATATTTAGAACAAGGGATGTAACTCTTAAAATTATGAATATTCATAATTTATTTACAAATTACATGAAAAACATAAATATTAATCTTATAAGATTTGACTGTTTCTCTGATTAAATCATATTTTATTTTTTTATCGCGTTATATTTTTAATTTTTTGATTAATTTCATATTTCGGTATAAGATCGAATCTCAGTAATTTTGTACAACAAAACCTAAATGAGTGGGAGTTATAATAATTGAAAACTTTACAAAAGTTATCCTGCATAGATAAAAGTGATTCAAACCTAGCAATTAATGGGAGATAGCTGCCATGAACATCAATCTTTTTCCATTGGTCCTTTTAAAATATTGAACAAGTTCAAAACAAGTGATATCAAAGCTTATCAATTTTTCACTGATATAGAATCATTTATAAGAGATACCATCAAGATCAAAGTAGACCAAAACTAAAGTGTGTTCCACTTCTTTATGAGTGAAAGATCCATTGTAGAATTAAATGAGGAAAAATATCATAGATCTCACATTGGAAAGAGATAGGGCAAGTCTTGAATTTATAATAAAAACCTTCCTCTACTTAACAAGAATGTCTTTTAAGAATTTGTTTAGCTTGCCTTTTCTTTTCTTTTTTTTTTTTTGCTTAAAAAGCTATTATGAAGTTATTATAAAAAATATTAACTTTTAAAATTAAACTAAAACTATTTGATGAATTTAATTTTATAATTTTTTTTATAGATAAGTTGTTTGGTAAAACAAATGAAATAAATTTTAATTTTTATTTAAATTACTATAAAGGATATTTAATGAATAACTTTCTATTAATCATAAATTACTTTGTTAACAATGAAAACAATGGAAAAAAGTTAACTTTATTTTTTATCTATTTAAAACAAAGTTTTGAAAATATAAAAACCATTCTCATATAATATAAAGTTTATAATTAATAATAAATTATAAAGAAAAGAATTTCACAAATAATTTATAACTAACATAAAATTTATAAATAACTAATAAATCAACAATTTTTATTTTCTATCAATACAATAGTTATTTGGTTGTAAACTTTACTCATGTAACTATTATCTAATGCTCTTCTATAAGTATATGAATTAATTTATAATTGAGATATTATATTTGTTAAACTCCTCATCTATAATACCACATTATCCAAAGTAATTATGAAGTGCTGTTGTTGAAACAATAATCTTTTCTTGTTTTATCAGCGAAAATGACTTCATATCACATAAAATATATCACTTGTTCTTACAAACTCCAATTGTTCATTCAATGACATCTTTTAATAAAGAATGTGTATAATTAAGTGTTTCTTCTACAGTTTTTGGTTGATTACAACCTCTAAAATGAAAAGTGTGATACCTTTTACTTTTGTAAGGTATTAGATATCTTTTTATATTAGCATAACCAGCATCTACTTACATAATATTTACTTAAAAAAAAAGTTAAAAGTTACAATATTAGTTCATTATAAAAATTCAAGAGATAAATATATAAAATAAGAAACTTTATTTCATAAAAATTATAAGTTATACCTTTCCAAAGAAAAGGGAACTCGCTCTTCAATTTTTTAAGCACAGTTGAAAAGATACCAATATCATATGCAGTACCAAGCCAACTAACATCCACAAAAGTGAATAGCATGCTCGACTAACAAAAACAACACCATTTAATATGGATCTGCACAACTTGCAGCCATTCTTCTGCAGTTTGATTTTGCCTGTAGTGACTCATGAACCATTGAAGCAGCTTCGGAGTATAAACTTAAAAGAGGAACTGGAGAGGAAGCCAAACCAGCTCTCGGCAACTAGCATGATTGTGTAACTTGATGCGTGCAAGAGCAGCTTTGCTTAAGCCCTAACCCAGGAACAAAATAAATAAAAACAAAAAAAAGAAGCCTCAAAGTCATAGGTTTAAACACGCCATGTAATCATCAATATCTCAGCAATTCCCAAGAATATACAGAAAAGAAGACAGCATTTTACAGTTACATCTCAAGCCTAGAAATTTTTTTGGGAGTTACGCCTGATAGAGTTTAAAAACAAAAACTACCCAAGATTATAATACCAACCAAAACGCCATCAAATTACTGAAAAAATCACAATCCACCACATTATCTAGCTAGAATTGTTAAGTATTAGAGTCATTCAGTCGAACTCAAGCATATGTAGTGGTATTGTGGGGTAATCCAAAAATCCACGATTATAACTGAAATGTTAGCACCTTTTAACTACATTGTCCAAACAAAACTTAAGAATCCAAGAAGATCTAAAAGCATGTCCAACTACAGACCAAAAACATACAATCCCTTACAACACTCAAATAAAAGCACTAACAGCATATCACAAGCCTTGGTATTTGCATTGCTAGCTTAGTCGAAGAGGCTGAAACCCATATCCTGCATCATTTAGAAATTGTATTAGTAGAGAACACATCAATAAAGAATGGATATGAATCAACTTCAGGGTAAAAGAAACAATTACATCATCAGACTCTTCCTTCTCCTCAACTTTCTCCTCTTTCTTTGCCTCAGCAGCGGGTGCAGCAGCAGCACCACCAGCTGCAGGAGCAGCAACGGCAACAGCACCACCACCAGAAGGAACTGAAGCCAACTTCTCCCTTCCAGCTGCAATTAACTCGGTGATATCTTTACCTTTGACTTCAGACAAGAGTAACTCTATCTTATCATCATCAGCCTCAGCTCCAACTGCAACATATCAGAAAAAGAATGCCCTTCCTGTCAGAACGCTAGACAGTTTTCCAAGTATTTAATTCAATGTCCTAAATTTACGTTTAGTCTCGTTACTTGGGTACTTTTGTTGCTATTTGCGAGTATTTACAATTTCAATTCATACAATAAAATATAATGGAAAAATGTTCATAAACCAAATAGTTACCCACCAAAATTTGAGAGTACACAATTTCGATATGAAGATTCCCCTAAATTCCATTCAAATCCCACAAAAGATAAAAATGACAGATAAACGAATCATAACTAAATTAACCATAAGACATCTAAGCGAAACACCATCGCATCAAAGATACAGTTTAAAAACACAAATCGAAGAAAGAAAAGAGTGAGAAATGACCTGATCCGAGAATATCCTTCAAATCATCCGCGGAAGGGCAAGTGTTCCCTCCCAAGACCGCGAGCAAGTAGGCGGCGATTACCTTCATTTCTGCTCAATTCAGAACTTGCGACGGCTGCGGCGGATGCTGAAAGCTAGGGTTTTCCAGAAAGAGGAAGATTCTATGCGTAGTTTAGGGTTTTTTGTTTTGGGCCGTCGTCCGATTACAATGGTGGCGGTTCATTTTTATTTTATTTAACGAGTTCTAGATATTAGCCTTGCTTTCTTTTACTGTTTGGTTACGTGGGGCTGTTAGTTCTTGTCACGGTCAATGAGTAACATGCTGTGAAGCCATTTGCCCTGCATCCGGAATAAGAATAGGATATCCCATTTAGAAAGATTAATATAAATTATTCACCTCTAACTAAAATGATTAGGGAATAAAATGGAAGAAGTGGTAAGTCAGTATATTTTTATTGCAATTTATCCTTTTCTCTTTATTTATATATGATATAGTAATAAAATATTGTGATTTTTATTTTTTTTGCAGCATTGAATTTAACAAAAAAGGATAAGATCAACACTTAATTGTTTTGGGCATTCTTATCACTTTGTAACTAGTTTGATTAAAATGTCTAATACTCTATTGTAACAATGTTGACATAGTGCAACAACTGAAGCTCAATATACCTATTAACAATAGTTTCTGTGTTGGAAGATATAAAGTTTGGATTTAAACCACCTTAATACATTGACTTTGTTCAATTGTAAATTTGGAATGCATAAACACTGTAACACGAGTACCCCCTCACCTTTTCCAGCAGATAACATGGTATAATTTATAAGTTTATTTCAGTACCTTTAATTCATTTCTTGTTCTATATTATAAGCCCATCTCCAGGTTGGACCCAAAGCTGACAACGCAGGTGAAGGCCTTAGGCAATCTTACGAAATATCCCAAAAATAGGGGATTTGCATCATTTAAATTTTTCACAACAAAGAGGCCCTAACGCAAGTGAAGAAACATGCAGGTTATACATGAATCCACCCACAGAGGAGATATACATTCATCAAACATTAGCTAGTACCCTGGTATTCGTTGCTGATAATATTGTTAAAGAAAACAATTGAGCTTGGCTATGCCACACTCAATAATACACCATCTGTAGTTTTAACGTGAGCAGAAAGCATTTTCAAACTTTAACCAAGCAAGCACCACAAGCATCAAGATTCACCTAAGCCTCCTGGCGATATGTTGGAATCACAAAACAGATGGTATCAGCTCAGATGATTAATATAAGGAAACAAAGTAGCAAAAACTAAAATCAGCTCCCCAAAATCAATTGTGTGAATTGATGCATCAATGTATTAAGGGTAGCTTGTTTGCTTAATAAGCCCTAAACTGAGATCGAAATTCCTATAGGCAACAGATATAAGCCAGGCATTGGCTAATGTGCCAACAAAAGAAAACAAACAAATACATTAGCATAAGAGGTTTGGCTGTCAGATACCACTGACATTGCCATCAGCAATACACCGGGTAAGGACATGACACAATCATCAATGGCTCAACTAGCATTTCCCATGTCTACAGAGAGCATAACAGGATTTCCCAATTACTCTTTGACATCAAATACTGATGCCTAGGAACTTACTAGTCACTAGAGAGCTTAAGACAAAATCAACTGCCATTAAAACGTTTTACATCAATATACCAGAAATCATAAACACTGAATTGTTTAGCAATAATCAAACTCATCGAGCCAAATGAACAATAAGATCCAGAAATTCACAATTATAATTGAAATGTTAATGTTTTCTAAACAAAACTTCCAGAGTTTCAAGCTCTAATTTCAACAGACCAAAACAAACATATAAAATATTGTAGGACTCAAAATAAAAGCACTAACTGCATATAACAACTCTTGAATGCAAACACGCCTGCATTTCCGGCTTTTAGTCAAAGAGGCTGAAACCCATATCCTGCAACAATGTAGAAGTTATATTAGTAAACATTAAACAACAGGCTAACAAAGAATAGACACAAGTCAACTTTAGGGCAAAATAATTACATCATCAGACTCCTCCTTCTCCTCGACCTTCTCCTCTTTCTTGGCCTCAGCAGCAGGTGCAGCACCACCGCCGCCACCAGCAGCAGGAGCAGCAACGGCGACAGCACCACCGCCACAAGGGACTGAAGCCAACTTCTCCCTTCCAGCTGCAATTAACTCGGTAATATCCTTGCCCTTGACTTCGGACAAGAGCAACTCTATCCTGTCATCATCAGCCTCAGCTCCAACTGCAATATATATTAAAAAATCAATCCCACATCAGAAAAACAAACAATTTCCCGAAGTTAGATATAGTAGTAGTAAATTATTAAATCACCATGGCAGATAGTTGGTGAAAAAAGAGGGAAAATTACCTGATCCCAGAATATCCTTCAAATCATCGGCAGAAGGGTTAAAGTTCCCTCCCAAGACGGCAAGCAAGTAGGCGGCGATCACCTTCATTTTTATCCGATCAAAAAAATTAGAGCGCGAGAGAGGAAACAGAAAAGGAGCCGCGGGGGAAGCAAGCTAGGGTTTCCGAGAAAGGATGATAAAATGTCGACGTAACTAGGGTTTTTGTTTTTGGTAGGGGCCGTTTGATTTCAATCGTGGCCGTTCATTTTCCTTTTCTCATAAAAAAAGGCCCAAATTGCAGAGTCGAGGCCATACATGTTAGTCTTTGATGAGCGCTCAATTTCAACCCAGCTTAAATGGGCCGAAGCTCATAGGCCAAGGGCATTTGGGTCATTTAATTACTCTCACCAAAATCAAAGCGCGGGAAAACTCTTTATGCCTCCCCCCTTCACATGCCTGCGGGTTTTGTAGAAAACCTCTCTCTCTCTCTCTCTCTCTCTCTCCTTTCCTCTGTCTTGAAATAAAAAAAAAGGAGAGGGAAAGCTAAGAAAAATAATAAAATTCATTTTTGGATTACTGTTTTGATATCGGTTACTCGCGAAATCTAAAACTCCACGGGGCAAAATGAACGGTGGAGATAACCGACGGCGGGACCGCCGAGACCTTCGAAGCTCTAAGAAGCAGAAGAAGCTGATCCGCAGCGCAGAAGAGGAGCTCGAGTCCAAGCTCGGCTTCGATCTCTTCTCCGAAGGGGAAAAGCGCCTTGGATGGCTACTTACTTTCGCTTCCGTAAGTCAATCTCTTCACCATATCTACCATTTAAATAAATAAATTCAACATTTTATAAATATTGCTTTTTTGTTTTAAAAAAACTCATAATTTTAAATTTGCAGTCATCTTGTGAGGATGCGGATACAGGAAAAGTATATAGTTGCGTCGATCTTTATTTTGTCTCTCAGGTGAAAATGAAAATTACCATTTGGTGATTATATTCATTTCGAAAATTGTTTCTATTTTGAGAAATTATTCATTTGGTTAAATTTTAAATTTTGTTGAAATGTAGGATGGCTCTTGTTTTAAGTCAAAGTTCAAATTTCGTCCTTACTTTTACGTGGCTGCGAAGGTATACTTTCTATGTCTTTCTCCTCTTTCTAGTGTTGTTTACCTATCAAGAGGTGCTAATGCTGTGGTGGTGATGATGAGTGATTATGTTAATCTGACAGGACAAAGCAGAAATGGATGTGGAAGCATATTTGAGAAGACGATATGAAAGTCAGATTGCAGAGATTGAAATTGTGGAAAAGGAAGATCTTGATCTTGTAAGTTATTCTGTCACCTATTGCTTTAAAATTAGCTTTTCCAATAAAACTAGTTCTTAAAGTTCAAATTACAGTTGTAAAGAAGTCATAGCATTCAATTTGACAAAAGAGAGCATTTGGTTCTATGGTGTTTTGAATTTTTTTTGTTTAGTCAGATCAGATTATCTCATTTGTTTGGTCTAGTTGTGGTTTGAGTTTAATAAAGTAAGCATTAGATGCTGTGGTCTTTTTTTATTTATTTTTGATTACTCTGCTTAAACTTTCATCTGGTTGAATTAAGGTTGAGATTGTTGCATTATTTGGCTTAAGCAGATTGCTAATAACTTGTTTAATACTTTCCCATAAATCAAATTCTTTTATTTATATGCTGCCATATTAATACCTCAATATATTATTTACCGGCGCTTTATTCTAGGGTTCCTTCTGTTGGTTATATGAATTACCATATATTTGGCGAATCAATATGCTTGTTCATGCTTGATTTGGCATTTCATTAGATGTTGTGTTTCTCCATCTAAATGGGTTCTGATTGATTCATTTGCTTATGGACAGAAAAACCATTTGTCTGGTCTACACAAACGTTATTTAAAAATAGCTTTTGACACTGTTCAACAATTGATGGATGTAAAGAAAGATCTAGTGCATGTTGTTGAAAGAAACCATGCAAAATTTGAAGCTGCTGAAGCATATGAGTCGATATTAATGGGGAAAAGGTAAGGTTCCATGGTCCTCTGGCGAAGTTCATGTTGGTTTTTGTGTAGGTCAATTCGTTGACAGCACTATTACCCATTTCTTGATCAACCTCTTATTTTTGCCTTGCATTCACCGCTTACTTCTGATTGGAGTAGAACTTCCATGTATGTTTTGATAGTGTAATGGTGCTTGCCTTGCAGAGAACAAAGACCTCTGGATTTTTTAGATTATATAGTTGATCTCCGTGAGTTTGATGTTCCCTACCATGTTCGCTTTGCCATTGACAATGGTAATTTCTTTCTTTATTAGTCTGGGTCTTGGAACTTATTCTTGTTAGTAAGAAAAATGACTTCCATAATTATAAACTTGATATAAACATGTGTATTCTAACTCTGAGGATTTCATGGAACTCAGATGTGAGATGTGGGCAGTGGTATGATGTCAGTGTATCCAGTACAGGAGTCATTCTGGAGAAGAGGACTGATCTTCTGCAACGTGCTGAAGTGCGTGTCTGTGCATTTGATATTGAGACTACAAAGCTTCCTTTGAAATTTCCTGATGCTGAGTATGATTTAATAATGATGATATCATACATGGTTGATGGACAAGGATATCTGATTATTAACAGAGAGGTATTTATGATATATATTCATATCGTTATTCATTTGTTAAAAAATTGTGGTTTGTGATTCTTCATGTCTATCACTTGTATGACTTGTCTGTTTTTGTAAGTCCATATTTGGCACCAAGGGTTTTCTTAAATCATGTTTTGAATATATCCATTGCTTAGTTGTTTTCATTCATCAATGAACTATAGTTAATTATATGTCTTGCATCACACCAAAAAATTTCATTGTTGTAGTTTCTATTAGTCATCCATTGCTTTCTATTTCTGCTAGCACCATCTTATGCTTTCCAGTTTGTTATCTATTTCCTTCTGGTGTAACTGCATTCAATGTGTTTCTAGAAATATTAATTCTTCATTGAGCTTTTCCTTTCAATTTTAATTCATGATTTTTCACTTGTCCTCAGTGTGTAGGGCAAGATATAGAGGACTTGGAGTATACTCCAAAACCGGAATTTCAAGGGTATTTCACAGTCACAAATGTGAAAAATGAGGTAGAATAAGTTTCATAAATTTGTTCTCATGGGGATTTTCTGATGCTGATTCCCTTGCTATTTTTTGTGATGTTTCTTGCAGGTAGAACTTCTCCGGCAGTGGTTTGCTCACATGCAAGAGGTGAAGCCTGGTATTTTTGTCACATATAATGGTGATTACTTTGACTGGCCATTCATAGAAAGCAGAGCTGCTTATCATGGGTTTAAAATGAGTGATGTATGTATACTTTTCCCATCAGTTCATTTCTCAATCCTGAAGCAATTATATTTGCCTCTATTTGTTACTTTTCTTTTTTGGTGATTTTTGTAGGAGGTAGGATTTCGATGTGACAAGAATCAGGGGGAATGTCGAGCCAAATTTGCTTGTCATTTGGATTGTTTTGCTTGGGTCAAACGTGATAGTTATCTTCCTCAGGGGAGCCAAGGCCTAAAGGTTCAGACCTGTAATCTAAGTTCATTTGTTTATTATATTTATTCTGTATTTGTTGGTAATCTTTTAGTTGAATTGAAGGTGCTTGTTTTTCATGTTTCTGCATGAATGAAAATATCTTCATAATTTTTTCAAGGAATGAAATGGCTAATATACAAAATCTAAAATGGTAGCCTTGAATTTCATATTACAAGCAGCTGCATCTCATAATGTTATTGGCAGGTGACATACATTATTTATTCAACCAATAAGTATAATCTCTTTAGCTCATGGTACATTTGCCTCTAATGTCATGCCTTAGTAGGAGCAGGTGCAATGCTACAATGTTATGCACAACATATCTAGGTTTAGGTTCTTGGTCATATTTTTTTTAAATGCAATGAATTTAATATTTCAGTGATTGTTAGTGCTTAGACTTTCACATGATAGATTATTAGTCCTTAAATTAAAGTTATGTTTCATATTTGAGGCAATTGGATAATTAATTTGGCAGATAAAATTAAGAAACTTCTCAGTCATGTTCATAGACATTTTTTCAGAGTTAAAGTCTAATAGGAGGTTCAGTAAAGTGGAAAAAAAAGTCTAATAGGAGGAAATGTTAAATGGTAAACGGAGTAGAGCAGTTGATTGGTCATGACTGATGAAATCTTGATGTACTTTGAAGATTAATGAAATATTGGCTTATCAAAAAAAAAAAAAAAAGTAGAGCAGTTGATTGAAGGATGCATTCTGAGCGGCCATCATTACCTGTGAAGTGCTAGAATAGGCTGTAGTAAATAGAGGAAAGAATTTCAATGCTTGATAATAATGCATCTAAGCTTTGGGAGAATTTTCTGCTAAAATTCACTTTATTAATTGTAAAATATGTTGAAAAATAATCGATCTTACTTCTCTGGAAAGCATCCTGGTTTTTCTGAAAGAAAAAGATACACTTTTTTTTCTTGGACAAAAGTCATGCAACTAAATATTCAGGTTCTAAAACATCATCAAAGGCATTTAACCACCTGGTTTGTGGTGTAAACAGCACTAGTCATTCTTTGAGCATTGAAATCACTATTTATTAGTCATTGAAAAGTTCAATATAGGGAGAATGATTTCAGATTTGCAATCAAATATGATCTTATATGTTTCATGACACTTGAGATGGGTTACTTTTCTTGTGATTCTCTTAGGCTGTTACAAAGGCAAAGCTGGGTTATGATCCACTGGAGGTGAATCCAGAGGATATGGTTCGATTTGCAAAGGAAAAGCCCCAGGTATGAGTAACTAAATAATGTATATGCTGTTTTCTTTCTTGTTTGGATTGTAGAATTGAAGACGGTTTAGAACTGATGTTGGAAATCTTGAAGAGTAGATAAGCTATTGTGATAATTTAATTATCATGCAGGGAGAACTTTACAAACTTTATTTGCTGTGCTATTGTAGGACAAGAGTGAATGTTTTATTCTTGTGCAAACTGCTATGCTGTGGTTGCAATGCTAATGATATTGTAATCATATTGACGATGAGCCCTTTCATTTGTTAAGTTTTTAGCATACATCTTTACAAACACATAAACTTTTGCCTACCTTGCATGTCCTTTTCTAGAGTGCTTCTCACTGAATTTTTTGTTTGCATTGCTAACAATATTATGACAGATGATGGCCTCCTATTCTGTTTCCGACGCTGTTGCAACTTACTACTTGTATATGACCTATGTTCATCCCTTTATTTTCTCTCTGGCAACTATTATTCCCATGTCGCCTGATGAGGTTTTGCGCAAAGGAAGCGGGACACTTTGTGAAATGCTTCTAATGGTGCAGGTACTTTATGTGAACATTTGTACTAAAAGCATTGCTACTACTTAATTGAACAGAGGCGTTTTTATATTTTCAAACTTTTATTTTTATTAAGATATCACATTTTCACAGGCTTACAAGGCAAATGTTATCTGTCCTAACAAACACCAATCTGACCCTGAGAAGTTCTATAAGAATCACCTACTTGAGAGTGAGACCTATATAGGTGGCCATGTGGAATGCCTTGAAAGTGGCGTCTTCAGATCTGATCTTCCAACTAGTTTTAAGACTGATCCATCTGCCTATGAGGTTTGTTGTTTTCATGGGTCTTGTATTCTGCTGCTGTGGACCATAGTACATTTGAATTAGTTGAATATGGTGTAGTAGCAGCTTTGATCTAGTTGCTGCTGCTTTGATTTTCTGGTCATCTGGTATCATGGCTTGGCTGAAGTCATCTTTGATCATTTACGCATTGAGTCTTATATGGTATCTTATATGCTATGTTCATTTTGCTAGCTTTAACATTCATATGCCACTGAGCAGTTTACATCACTTGGTTTATCTTATTAGTGGTTGCTGTTGATTTATTCGAAACTGTATTGATCCCAACTAGTTGAGTTGCTAGATATATTGAACTTTTCCTATTCAAGTCTATCTACATTGGTCCTATTAAAGAATAATGGAAGCTCATAAGAGTTGAAATTGTGATTTTTCTGATTAATGAGATGAAATTGGTTGGGATTTCTATATATTAGTAATTTCAACAGTTTATTTTATAAAAACATTGAGAAATGCATTTCTTTTAATGTTGTTAACCAATTTGTCATGTGTGGTTAGTACATAATGTTGTAAAAGCTTGGAGAAAGAAACCAATGTTGATTATATCATGGATTTTTTTCAGCTACTACTTTGGCTCACCACCCTTGAACCAAAATAAAATAAAGGGAATAAGATCACAGTCTAGTATTTTTCTTTTATGTTCATATTTGTGTCACAGAGAACTTTAGGAGAAATGAATTTATGTTGAAACTCAAAAGGGGTAAGATGTATCCCCTATTGGCAAGACAAATGCATTAGTCTATCTTCTACTCAGAAGTGCTGATTTCTAATCTTTGCTGTTATGTGATTGTGTTGGTGAATAAATTGTGTTTTCTTCTGGCAAAATCTTAGTGTGAATGTGTTACATATTGGAACATGCCTGCATCATTCATACAGATTTAATTTTCATATCCACAACTATATGGATTCTTAGTACCTGAGATATAAACTTTATGAATCTAGTTGACTTACATTGGTGTACTTTCACTGCAGCAACTTATCAGTAATCTTGATCGGGATCTACAATATGCTATTAGAGTTGAGGGGAAGATGGATTTGGAATCAGTCTCTAATTATGATGAAGTAAAGAATGAAATAATAGAAAAGGTGAAGATAATTTGTTGGTTGAGCCAGAAGTTCTTGTTTTCTGATTGCCTTGATACTTCTGCAACTTCCAACTTTTATTTTGCTTATATTTTATTCCTTCCTGCGGTTTCTTCCAAGTTAACTTTTACATGTTGTTAGTATTTTCTAAATGGTGTAATTTTGATTTATGATCCTGTATATGGTCTAATTTTGTAAAATGATTCATTTATATTGTGTATTATATCCAAGCCTTCACTATTGCCATTACAGATGTATTAGCTTTTTCTTTTAAATCTTTCTGAATGTTTTAAAGTCTTGCAGTTTATGAATAACATGAATATTAGTGAAAAATGTGGATATAATTTGAGTAAGATAATTTTATTTATCAAGTATTTCTTTTTATGCAGCTAGTAAAGTTGCGAGATGAACCTATCCGTGATGAATGTCCTCTCATTTATCATTTAGACGTGGCTGCAATGTACCCAAATATTATTTTGACAAATAGGCTTCAGGTTTGCTACCAATAAACTGCCTTTGGTGCATCGTGATACAATGTCAATGATTCTCATTAATTTTAGGGGATCCTTGCTCTGACTTTCAATTTAGGTAGCATGGAAGGAATTTGGTGAGGCATTAAGTATGAACTATTTGGGGCCATGACATTAGAATATAGATAGCACATACACATGTGGATATACAGTCTATAACGTTTGCACTAAACACAGAGTGTCTACACAAATTTGTTCATTTTAATACTAGGGACTTCAGATGTAAGATAGTTGTCTCATTTTTTTTAGTAAGTAATCTTTTTCCTTCAGAAATTCCTTGGTAATTAACTTGCAATGGGGGTTTCTTGTTGAATTCCAGCCACCATCAATTGTTACAGATGAGGTCTGTACTGCATGTGATTTCAATCGCCCAGACAAGACTTGTCTCCGGAAACTTGAATGGGTTTGGCGTGGGGAGATATTCATGGCAAAGAAAAGGTTTCTTTCTCTCACTTAGTGGCTTCTTCGTTATAGTATTAGCAAAATCTAATTGACACCTATACATTGGTAATGCTGAATGGCTTCAGTGATTATTACCACTTGAAGAAGCAAATTGAGTCTGAATTTTTTGATGGTACTGAGAGTCAGTTGTCAAAATCTTTGCTTGACCTGCCTAAGCTGGAGCAACAATCTAGGCTGAAAGACCGTTTGAAGAAATATTGTCAGAAGGTAAGATAACTGTTGCCTTTAATAAACATGTTTGCCTGAGTAATGATTACCATAATGGGTTGGTGCCTTCCTTAGGTATATAAACGAGTTTTGGATAAGCCAGTTACTGAACTTCGAGAAGCAGGGATCTGCATGCGTGAAAACCCTTTTTATGTTGACACTGTCCGAAGGTAAGCTATTTATATTTTCCTGTTTCATGCATTTGATATGCTAAATTTTACCACTAGATAATCACTTCTATTTTGTTAGTAGTGTAATATGTTATGATATCTCGTGGCTTTTTTCATTTTACGGTGATAGATATCTATCACTTCTCTTTGTGGATAGATAATAATGACTGAACATATGTTCTTCAAATATGCATGATGTTGAACTATTAAAGGGACCCTGAATAAATTGATTTCTTATACTAAATCAATTTTTTTAACCTGAATCCAAGCTTTCGAGATAGAAGGTATGAATACAAAGGACTTAATAAAGTTTGGAAGGGGAAGTTGTCAGACGCCAAGGCTGGTGGAAATCCTATGAAGATCCAAGAAGCACAAGTATGCTAAATGTTCTTCAATTTGTCAAACATTTTAGTCAATTTGTGATCATCTAATTCACTTCTCATGGGTTCTCTTTTTCTTCTCAATATTTTCAGGACATGGTAGTGCTTTATGATTCCTTACAACTTGCCCATAAGTGTATTCTGAACTCATTCTATGGATATGTCATGCGCAAGTAAGCTGTGACTTTTTTTTATTGTTCTTTTCGGGTGGTTGGGAAGAGGTTTCAAAACTTCCTTTCAGTTCTGAAATCCCACAATTTTGGAATTGGTTGTCTACTTGTTTTAAACATACTTATCATGCTTTTTTTTTGTTGGCCTAGAAATATACATTTCATGCTTAGAATGGTGTTTTAAATGTTTCTGCCACAGAGGTGCAAGGTGGTACTCGATGGAAATGGCTGGTGTAGTTACATATACTGGTGCTAAAATTATTCAGAATGCTCGCTTACTTGTTGAAAAAATTGGGAAACCACTTGAACTAGACACAGATGGTATCTGGTGTGCACTTCCTGGGTCTTTTCCTGAAAACTTTACTTTCAAAACTAAGTAAGCTTTTTAAATAAGTGCACTGAAGTTAAGACTTGTGATTGGTTAATTTGCATAATTTATATAAAAATGTTGATCATCATCTGCAAACTATGTTTGTCAGAGACTCAAAGAAGAAGCTGACAATCTCTTATCCGTGTGTAATGCTTAATGTTGATGTGGCAAGAAACAATACAAATGATCAATACCAGGTTTGCAGGGAACCTCGTTCTTTATCTATTCTCAAATTGTTTTCTTCCAAATGCATTCAATTCATTCTCTTCAAGCAGTTTTGTAATTTTGAAAGGATTTTATTTCTGTTAAACTTCCTAAGTGATAGTTTTTGACAGACACTTATAGATCCTGTCAATAAAACATATGCAACTCATAGTGAATGCTCAATTGAATTTGAAGTGGATGGACCATACAAGGTAATTTGGAAAACTAAATTGCCGTTGAATATTAAATTTGCATTATTTTTTCAAGTGCTCAGATTGGTTATTTGAATATAGGCGATGATTCTACCTGCTTCTAAGGAAGAAGGAATTTTAATTAAGAAAAGATATGCTGTTTTTAACGATGATGGAACCCTTGCTGAACTTAAAGGTTTTGAGATAAAACGTAGAGGTGAGCTGAAACTCATCAAAGTTTTCCAGGTACCCTCTCTCTTCGAGATACTCTCTTTACAATATGCATCCTGAGATGGTTTTTGCCAATGTCACAAAAGCTTGGCCATTGCTTCGACCATTGGAATTATTATTTTCAGAAATTTAGTTTGTGCCTGTCATAATTTAAAGTTTATTTGCTAGTGCAGTCATGCATTTGAGTGTGTGCATGTTGTTAGAGAAAATTTTATGTAATTTCTAATAAGCTTAAGATGAAAGAAGGTTCCCACTTGTTCATATTTAAAAGCTTTAGGTACGTGAGAACCCAATGATGGCTGTCTTCCATTGTTTGTGTAGGTACATTCCTGACCATGAATGAGTGCATTTTACTACGTCTCTAATTTAAAATCTAATATTTGTAATTTCTGCCACAGTCTGGATTATGTTAATTACAGTATATTGTGCGTTTTTATATTCTTAGAATTAAATTGCTGCCCTCTAAACTGACATTTTCCATACATGAAATACTTTCTCTTTTGCAGGCTGAGCTTTTTGATAAGTTCCTCAATGGGTCCACCTTAGAGGAATGTTACTCAGCTGTTGCTGCTGTTGCAAATCGCTGGCTTGATCTTCTTGACGTATGCAAAAATTTATTGGGTGTTTTCTTAAGCTCCAATATTTGGTCTTCTATCATTATTTTTTACTCCTTTATCTGACTGAAAAATGTTTTTTGATTAAATATGGGGTCGAACATCATGTTTTATTTAATATAGTCTTTCTTTTTGTCATTTTCTCCCAGAATCAAGGAAAGGATATTGCGGATAGTGAGTTACTAGATTACATATCAGAATCTAGCACAATGAGCAAGTCTTTAGCAGACTATGGTGAGCAAAAGTCATGTGCAGTGACCACGGCAAGGCGTCTAGCTGATTTTCTTGGTGATACTATGGTTAAAGATAAAGGACTGCGTTGCCAGTATATAGTGGGATGTGAACCAAGAGTAAGTTCTATCATTCAGTATGTTATGAATTTTTCGGGTATTTAATCTCAAATAAACATCAAATGGACTTATGTTGAACATTCAGGCATAAGATCATGGTTAATGTGGAAGTGGAGAAACAACGAGAGTTATTTTCCAATACTAAAAGAAACAAGTAATGGAGTCAACAACCATGGTTGTGATCTAAGAGAAGAGAGCCATTAGTAAGATACCTTTTTATCTCTTGATGCTGCCTTAGCATGAGAGGTTTTTTGCATACCATCCAAAAGTATCAAACAGTGTCATGCTAAACAAGCAAGCAAGATCACTCAAGAAGTCTTAATTAGGAGCCAGTTTACCATGAAAAACCAACCATAAACCAATAGTAATTCCAGTTTCTACCATTAGAGCCTTGTGATACCCTTTTCATGACATATCTATTCTGCGAAATTGTTAAAATACTCACCATAATCTATTCTACGAAGCTTGCAGCTATACATTTCAGAAGCCATATTAATCCAAATACTTACGTTATTGAGGTCTTGCACTTCTATTAGGGAATTTTTGTATAGGCAACTAGTTTATTGCTAATGCAATGGTTTAGCATTTTCTTCTGCTGTTGTTACTTGTAGATCTTAATTATGTATTATATAGTCAACACGATGCACTTGGCATTTAAAAGAATTTTTCCCTGAATGTTCTGTTTTGAATTTTTTTACCTGTAATTTATGCAGGGTACACCTGTTAGTGAGCGTGCTATTCCTGTTGCAATATTTGAAACTGATGCTGGTTAGTTCTGCTATTTTTAATGTCAATTTGCTTTTCCTTTTTTAGCACACTAAATGGAATAACTAACTGCTTCAAGTTTACAGAAATAATGAAGTTCTATCTACGCAAGTGGTGCAAAACTTCTTCCGATGTTGGCATACGTTCCATTGTTGACTGGTCATATTACAAGCAACGGCTTAGTTCAGCGATTCAGAAAATTATCACTATTCCTGCTGCAATGCAAAAGGTTCCATTGTTTGTTTAGCATCACTTCCCAAAGTAATCTTTCATTGTGCAGCCTGCTAAAAATAATTTTCAATTTTTTAGGTTGCAAACCCCGTCCCTAGAGTAGCTCATCCTGATTGGCTGCATAAAAAGGTTCGTGAGAAGGAGGATAAATTTCGTCAAAGAAAGTTAGTTGATATCTTTAGCTCATCAGGCAGAGATGATATAATGAAAAAGGCAGGTGATGCTGTTACTGCCAATCATGTGGTTGTTGGAGATTTAGAAGACTTCCAAAATAAAAGACGAAAGTCTGAAAAAGCACCTACACCAATTGTTCGTTGTTATGAAGTCAATGATGATCAACATCCTGTCAGGGAAGTCGTCCAAGCCAATTCTCTGCAACACCAAACTGAACATAGAGGAAGTGCACACCAGCTTTCATCGCCATTGTTGCCAAATGTTCAGTCCACTGAAAACATTGACAGAAATGTTGATTATCAAGGATGGCTTGAATTGAAGAAGAGAAAATGGAAGGATAGTCTCGAAAGGAGGAAGAGGCAAAGGTACTTTTTGCTGTTACTTATGGATAATGGCTATGTTAATTCCATGGAGCTCCTGAATGTAATTGGTATTTAGTGGAGGAAATTGTTCATAGATCCAACAATTACTTCATACATCTTTCCTCATTCCTTGCTCCCATTAAAGGACCCTTGTTTGGTGATACCAGCTAAAAGTTGCCTAATGCAGTGTTGGTGCAATAGGGAAGCAGGCATTGTTGCTTCTTCTATCTACAAGGACTGAATCTATGGCTTAACTAAAACTTTAATTTAGGAACATGTTTTCCTTGGTATATATATAGAAGGGTGTATGATTGATTTTGTACATCTTTAATTGAAGCAAATTCATAATTTTTGTTGTTGGATGTTACACACCAAACTCAATTGTTGCAATCTTGTTGCATAATTTTTAAGTGTGCCTCATGTTTTTAGTTGCCTTTCTTTAGGAGTGTGGGGATTCTACTGATGGTACCATTAAATTCTAATGTTATAATATATTTTTGTTGCTTTGGCAGGTTGGGTAATCAAAGAACTTCACAGCATGCCAGTAGCACTTCTGAGCTGCTGCGTGGTGTGGAAAACAATAAAGATGCCCGGGGAAGAACTGGTGTTGGTTCATATTTTAGGAGGCATGACGCATCTCTAACAAATACCCATTGGCAGGTAGTGTAGTTTTCTTTCATTGAGAAAATTTGGCTGGAATGAACTTGACCACTTTATCTTCTTCTTTTATGTTTTAGATTATACAGCTAGTCCCAGGTTCACACAATGGCCAATTTTTTGCTTGGGTTGTTGTTGAAGGAATTATGCTTAAGGTTCCTATAACTGTTCCAAGAGTGTTCTATTTGAACTCTAAAGCAACCGTATCAGAAAGTTTTCCTGGAAGGCGGGTAAACAAGACTCTTCCTCATGCAAGGCAGAGCTATAACCTAATTGAGGCAAGCATATTGTTGTTACCCTTTTTAAAGTTATATCCCTTTCTTTAGTTGTTTTACAGTTAAAAAGCTTTATAAGATTTAATTTCATTGGTCATTTGTTTGCATTTTAATAGGTTATAATTGATGAAGATCAATTTAGGAGGGAGAGCAAGAAACTCGCAGCTCTCCTCTCTGATCCAGAAATTGAGGTAAGCATACTATTTCCTTGGATATCAATCATTTTGAGACACAATGGATACACAGATACATCCAAGCTTGATTTCCTTTTTTGTGCATCTTATGTGAAATTTATTATGTTGCTAATGTTCATTTAGTTAGCAAACTTCGTACTGGTTTCAAACTTTTGGTTTTGTGATTGAGCTATATTTTTCATTTTGTGCTATCCTAATTTATTTCCTTTTAATAAGAAATATATTTTCGGTTGTATCTAATTTCTTTTTCTTGTTCTTGCTTATGAGAGGAAGTTTAAAGTGCCTGTTGTCTTGGTTAACAGCTAATAGCATCAGTATCCTTATGCCACCTTGTGAGAAAATGGACAAAAGTATTAACAAACAGGCACAGAGCAAAAAAAATTTGCCAAATCAAAAAGTATTTCTATAATGAAACCCAAGAAATCTATTTTATCCCAAAGACCAAAGACTTGTAATGTATTTTGCATCTTTATAGGCAGTTCCTTGGGCAATATTGCTCCTTCCCTTGAGCATGCCAATATCTTGTTGGTAATCATATGCTATATATGTATACGTGCAACTAGGCTATGGTAGAATTGAAAAGTAATTTGACCCAGAACATCAGTGTGTATGGGGAGTATTTCACCTATAATTATATTTACTTAAATCCTGCAATTATCCAATCAAACAAAAATTTATGTGAGGTCCACCACTTATAAGTCTGAGGTCCATACAATAATTTGATGGACCGTACACAATTTATGATTGTAATTGAAAAATTGTATTGCAGTAACTGTAGGTGATATGCTTCTGTGTGTATGCTACTATCAAGAATCTAGTCAACAATGGATTGCAATACATTATGGTATAGAACTTTACTTGCTGAGATCTAGCACCATGCTTCTGTCAGAACGCCATTAAGGTATATTAGAGATTTTCCATCTTTACAAAAATTATATAGGTAACTTTGTGTTAGGTCAAGAGGTTTATGAACACAGTGTGGTTAGTTCCCCTTCTTTTCTTTTGTGTGCAAAAAGAGCTAAAGTTATTCATCAGTTAACTTCCAACTCTTGATGAAAATATGATGCAGATTATGACTTGGTTTATCAATTGTTTGAGTTGCATCAAACCAGTAAATAACAAGTACGACAAGCTTTCTACTTTGAAACTTCATCAGCGGATGAAGGATTGAAAAGTAAATCGCAGTTACTTTCCAATATTGTGGTTGTGCCCTTGAAACCTGTTATCGTTTAGCTTATTTAGAAATGAGTTAGTCTCCTTGTCCATTTTTGCTTGAATTTGTATTCAAATATTCTTGACATGTTCTTGTGAGGTATTCTAAGAATTGCTTCACAGAAAAATAAAAAGCAAAAGAATTTGTAATGTTCTTGGTGAAGGTTAAACCATTGAAATTTAATTCTTTGGTTGTGATTAAAAAAATTGTTATTTGTACTCTTATCATCTCAGGTTTGTTTGTCAGATGCCTACTTAAATGGCTTAATTATCTCGATATCTAGTTGATAAGAATCAACTTTTTGATCAGGGGATATATGAAAGAAAGGTGCCACTGGAGTTTAATGCTATTCTCCAGCTTGGTTGTGTTTGTAAAGCAGATAAGACAGCTAAGAAACGAAATGCCCAGGATGGTTGGAGTCTGAGCGAATTACACATGAAGACTACAACAGAATGTGCTTACCTGGAGCAGGCAATCTCTTTCTTTTACTTGTATCATAGGTAATTGCGGTACCATGTTTCTAAGAATGACACTTTATTATAGGCAGTAGAGAAGTTGCTCTAATAATTGATACTCATGGTTTAAAATTCGCTCTTCTCTTTTCTTTTCTTTTTCTTTAAATCATTTTAGATGTTCTACCATCTTGAGTCAAAATATCAATCTATGAGCAAAAGATAGAAAATTTTACAAGATTATAGACATTATGTTATAAATGTTGATGCCAAACATTATTTTTTTCAGATCACATATTTTTCTTATCATAGCTTTCCCCAAAACACATTTATGCTTTGTATTAAAGCTACATAATGGGTTACTATTAAAACAGACAAATCTTGTAGTTATAATGCTCTCAAATGACAAATTGGTTCCTTAATGCACTTGATTGTACTTGCACCTATGTGCATGCCTTTTTGTGGTGGATATGCCCGACTTTACAAGCATCTTCTCTGAAGAATATTTCGTCAACTCAAATAACTTTTCAATTTTAAATTTCTTTTGTTCTATAATTTAGGACAGTTTATAGCTGAACTTTTTAATTAGGAAAAGCCCAAAATCAAATAGTCTCAAGCTTCTTTTCCATTCTGCATGTCGTGTTTTCATGAAAATGAAGAAAAGCTATTCTTACATTGTTGATTTTGCTTCTTCCTTCAGTATCTGTGAAGGCCGTGCCATCTATGCTGGCTATTTTTCTTCATTGCAAGCAGTACACGTGGTGGTAGTTAATCCTCACCACGAAAATGAAATTTTATCTCCATATATCCTTGAGAAATATTTTCATGAAGCTTGCCAGGCATTGTCTATTGAACCACTAGCTCGTAATGGTATAGCTTTCAAGGTAAGTTTATAATTTCTGACTATAAGTGTTCCTGATGTTTTCTCCCAGTTATTATGTCTCTTATCTTTCTTTTCTTCTCATATTTACTCATCTCAGGTGAACTATGTTGAATATGTCAAGGATGCTGAAAAGATTTTACAAAGAGCTATAAGTGAACAAAGGTTTTACTTCATACTGATTATGTTTTTACCCTGATTTATGTAGCATATATACCTCTCTTTTTCTATCTTCCTTTTTTAAGAGGCCTGCTCTGATTTCTCCATTAAAGAAAAAAAAAAAAAACAAAAACTGTCCTTACAGTAGTTGTTGATACTGCTGAAATATCACTGGGGATATCAGGAATAGCGAGTCCTGATATAAAGTTTACTTTCTTTTGTTGTGTGAAGTTATTGGATGGTAGTTTAGAATATTGAGCATTTATTGCATAATCTCTTGATATTAACATTTTGCTAGTAATTTAGGAAATCTGGAGTCTCCTACTTGTATTGAAAACACAAAACCTCAAGTTGGAAAGAAACTGCAAGGGCCAACCTAACTCGTTTTCTTTGATCCTATAGGTCTTCAATATGCTTATTAATTGCTGATTTTTTAGGCCATTCATTAAAAAATGTTTCTGACTAAGTAATGCGAGCCTTTATGTCGAACCTCTTGTAGCTAATAGGTTATATCAACTTGTTTACAATCATTCTTTGGTTTTTCTTCATTTCTTTTGTTTACACAAGCCTGAATGAATTTCTTTTCACTATGATTTTGCATGACAGACATGAACATCAAGGACCTACTGTTGCGGTCATTGAATGCCCAAACACACAATCAATGAAGTCAGGCATACGAGCTCTCGAAGATTTCCCTTGTGTGAGCATACCTTCCAATGCTCGTGATAATGATTATCAGGTAGTGGGGTTCTGTGTCAATAGCTACTTCATGTGCATATGTTGCTTTGCAGTTACTAACTCTGACTTTGTCTACGTTTAAACTCATATTATCGCTTAATTTTCATGATCGGTACAGCTGCTTGTGTGGCAACAAACAACTGCAAAAATTGGAATGCAGCGGTGTGCTGCGTCATCTCAGTGGTTGAGTGAGAGGATCTCTCTCTCAAGATATGCACATGTAATACTTTTACCTCCATGCCAACTGTATCTAGTCTTAAATATGCTTGTTACTATGGGTGTAACATTTCAAATTTTCTGGGGCAGGTACCATTGGGCAATTTTGAACTTGATTGGCTATTATTTACAGCAGATGTCTTCTTTTCTAGAGCTCTACGTGATCAACAACAGGTTTTTTTTATTGGGTGCTCTTTGATAATTTAAATGTTCAAAATTTTCGAAATTCTGTTCCTTTTGAACTTTTCTGCTTTTTTGGTTAGGTGATAATTTTACTTTAGATAAGATTACTGGTTGATGTCTTAGGCTACTCATAGCCTTTTCCATTTTATTGATGCTTGCCTTTGTTGAATTTGCATTTTTACTAGCAGTTTTCTCATTGCAACTTAATCAAATATTGTTTTCATAGGTACTCTGGATATCCGATGATGGTGTTCCTGACCTAGGAGGCACTGGTGAAGAAGATATATGTTATGCTGATGAGGTTAGTTTCAACAAATGTTTAGGCATAGCAGGGTTGTAACCCTTGCCTTTTGGGCTCACTAAAGAATTTATCGTAATTTATGTTGTTAATCTCTGGGAATAGATTGAGTTACTCTCCTAACCAGTCCTTGGCTCCACTTATTATTTGAAATTTCTCTTTAACATAATATTTGTGCATTTGAATTCTCTTTAGTGTAAATTTTTTTGTTTGGCCAATTTCTTTCAGTGAACTTACTTGTTGGCTACTTCCAAATAGGTCCATCAACCTGTTGTTACATACCCTGGAGCATATAGAAAAGTTTCTGTGGAGCTAAAGGTTCAGAACATATCTATATTATTTACTTCTACTTTTCTTTGTCATATACATTGCAACATATGTTTTTATCTATATTTTTTATGGGCGGGTGGCATAGTCAGGTTGCATCAGGTTTTTAATCAAGTTGATTGTAAGAAGCACATGTATTGTCTGTGTTCAGATTCATAACCTGGCTGTGGATGCTCTTTTAAAAAGCAACCAAATCAATGAAATGGAAGGAGGAGCTTTATTAGGATTTGACCAAGATGTGAATTCCGGAAATGAACAGTGTGGTTTTGATGAAGCTACCTCATCTGCAGCTGCATTTCGAGTCTTGAAACAACTGATACAGAGGTGTCTTGCTGATGCAGTTTCGTCAGGAAATGTGTTTGCTGATGCAATACTGCAGCATCTATATCGGTGGCTTTGCAGGTAAATTCTTACCCTCTTTCATTTCCCACTTGCTGTTGTTTGAGATGATTATATTGTTGTTCTTTCCATATTGCAGTCCTCAGTCAAAGCTTCATGATCCAGCTCTTCATCGTATACTTCACAAGGTATGTACCATTTGAATACTGGGCTTTTAGTTCATCGGTAGAATATTTACTGGCGGGAAAATTGGACTAAAATGTCACTCTGATCTGATATATTTGTTTTCTATGTGCTTGATCAAGAATTTCATAACTGCCTTCCAAAAGCACTATTAATTTGAGCAATCTTTGTGAAGAATTAGATTCCCTACTAAGATAAGTTGCATTGAGCTTATCACAATATGAAAGCTGCTTTCTTTTATATAATAATATCAAAATTGCTTTCTCGTAGTTGTTATATTGGAAAAATGTGGTAACTCTTCTGGTTTGTGATTTGGATCTTCATCGACGTCTGCCTTATTGAATGGTTTATATTTCTTTAAATTGTTTATAAAATCTGCAGGTCATGCAAAAGGTGTTTGCTTTGCTGTTGGCTGAATTTCGCAAATTGGGTGCAGCAATTATATTTGCAGACTTCTCTAAGGTTATCATTGACACAGGCAAATATGATATCTCAGCAGCCAAAGCTTATTCTGATAGCTTGCTGAAAGCTCTGCAGAATAGGTTGGTATTGGCCAAGAAGCTTCTGAATAGACCTTTGATTTTGTTGATTTTTTTTTTCTTTTTTTTGTTTTTGGTACATATATGTATATATTTTATTTTCTGTGGTGGATTGGTAGAGAACTATTTGAATGGATCGAGCTTGAGCCAATTCACTTCTGGCATTCCTTGCTTTTTATGGATCAGGTATGGTTTCTTCTTATGGTTTAGTAGTTTCATTACAGCACACAGGATACTTGTATGCTATGTTTATATATAATTAGAGGTACATCTTCACGTCTTAGATCTTGAGAGTATTGCCTTTTTGAAATTTCAATGTCTTGATAGTCTCAAAATCAGATTAGTTGAATTCTCCACTAGACTTTATTTTTTTTAGCTGTATTTTCTGCCATATTGGAGAATCGCCAATCTGACCCAGCGGTGACAAAAAGATGATCATAACTCGTATTGCTGATGACTTATTATAATGCCTAAAGATGTATTGCTTTAAATTTAAAACTTGATGCCAAGTCTGGAATAGAAAACTCACCAATGAAGTGGTTCAAGTGCTTTCAATTTTGAATCATACTGCATTGGTAGTCAAGATAATTTTATGTTCCTTTTCTGCTTGTTCATGTAAATTTATGATAATCTTGCTTCATCTATGATAGTACAACTACGGGGGAATCCTGGCGGGATCTGATGAAAATTCACAAGATAAGTCGGAAGTGGATATTGTTTCAAGCTGGAATATTGCCCAGTATTTACCTGAGAAAATTCAGGTATGCCTGTTCTTGTAACCTTTCCCCCATCATAGATAGGTTGAACTTTTCGAACTTCATTATTGCAAGACAATTGACTTTACTCTGTTGGTGTCAACAATATCATACATACTTATTTTGCCACATATTTTACTTCACTCGGTTATCGTCTGGGATTTTGGCAGGATCATTTTGTTCTAATTGTCTCCGAGTTTTTGCATACCCCCTGGAAATATGCACAAGACCAAGCTGCAAATAGAACATCCTCGCTGGATGGTAGTTTATGCACTCCATCAATCACTATCACAGCTGCTGAGAGTTTTGAAGCACATATTGTGAAATATCTCAAAGAGCAGGTATGGATTGGGAATATAGTGGTCAAGGGTGGTTTAATGCCTTGACTTCTGATTGCCTGTAGGTTCTCAATCAGATTAATTTACTTGTGCGCATGCCTTACAGATTAGCTCTTACTTCACGGAAAAACTTCTAGGAATTGTTCGTGATATTGTTCTTCATATGAAAGGGTTGAGCAGATCTGAAAATGATAAACAGGGTGCACATAGGGTTCTTCAGCTTGCTAGGAATGTCAACAGAGGGGATGCTGCACTGGAGTTTATTAAGCATGTCTGTGCTGTTCTGGCCCTTGACCATAATGTTCAGCATGATGTTCTGGTGAAGTTTTAACACCTTGCCTCATTATCTAAATCATATCACAGAGACACTACTTGCTAATTAGCATGCTTCTTCAGTTTTCAGATGTGTGAATTAATTGAATTGATATTATATTGTCATACAATAAGTAATAGTTTCATTCATGTACCCTTATTATACAGGTGCTAAGAAAGAATCTGCTGAAATATGCACGCATTAGGGAGTTTGCTCCAGAAGCTGAGTTTCATGATCCATGCCCTTCTTTCATCTTACCAAATGTGATCTGCAGGTATGCAAATTTACTATAAATATCTATATATTCGACGGCACTCATCTAGATGGTTGTTCCCCTAAATTTTAATAAGACTAATTCATAACTTCAATTATTAATGGTAATAGGCAATTGCTTGAGTTTGATGTTTTGGATGGAATGCTGTTGATTCTGTAGTTTCTTAGTTAGAAGTTTCTTCATGCCTTATGAATGAGGATCTGCATCGTCTTTACCATGAACTTTTGTTAAGGCTGCACATCTAACATGCTTGAGAAGTTTTTGATATCTACTTTATCATCTGTTTACTACTATTTCTGTTGAGATTAAGGTTTCCGAGTAATAGAAGGCTTTGGATTGATCAAGGTTTAGGCAATGTTACTTGAGTTCTTCTTAAAGCTTATCCGCACATACATGAGAGAAATTTTCATCTGTGGATCAGATTAAACCTTATAATCTTCAGCAGTGCCAGGATCAATCATATCACTCAGCCCTTTGCCTATCAATCGTTATTCAGCATTGACTAGTACTTTAACGTCAAAGTTTCAGAGTCTTAAGTTTGTCAGTTTTTAATAACCTTTCAAATTGACATTGGAACAGAATTCCAACAGTCCACATATCTTTACAAGTTAAATAAATCTAAGAAAGGAGGAACATGTTGTTTATAGTTCAAATTTTGAAGGGATGCATTTTTCTCTATATGACCTTCCATTTGTTGTGCCCTCTAGAGCCTCTTTGACAGGTTTAAGGGTTTTCTCCAGCTTTTTGTACGTTTTTACCCATTACTCATCTTTGACTGAAATTCTTTTTAACTTGCCTGACTTACCATTCTTCTTTTAGAGAGACACTTTTTCACCATTTCCTTCATTCATTTTGAATATATGAAATTCTACCATAAAAAAAAAATCAGGTTTACCTTTGTTTGAAACTCAAACTTGTTGCTGATGCACGTTATCTTTTGACAGCTACTGCAACGATTGCAGAGACCTGGATTTATGCCGTGACTCAGCTTTACTGGCTGACGAATGGCGCTGTGCTGTGCCCCAGTGTGGGCAGCCGTATGATCGCGAGGTGATGGAGAATGCTCTTCTTCAAATTGTACGTCAAAGAGAGCGTCTGTACCATCTGCAGGATCTGTTGTGCTGTAGGTGCAGACAGGTGAAAGCTGCACATTTAGCGGAACAATGTTCGTGTGCTGGCTCATTTAGATGTAAAGAAGATGTCTCTGAATTTCGAAGCAAAATGCAGATATTCCTGAACATAGCCATCCAGAAAAAGTTTCAACTCCTCCAGGAGTGTACCTCATGGATTTTAGAAATCAACTTGTAGTCAACCCGGCCTCTCTTATATCACATATGAAATGTATATACACATATATTCATTTATCACATATGTTTTTTTTTATTATTAAATGTATATATTTGAAATGTACTAATATACACGTATATGTCATAAGTTTCGAGGCTATCCCAATTAATGAAATTTGGTTCACATATTCTTTAAGAGTATTTTCATTATTATCAAGCAATCTAATATTGATATGGTATATTGTTAATAAGTGTGGCATAACTATCAAAATTCTCTTTCCTGGATGAATGCTGATGTGCTCGTTAATTGAACTAAAAAACATACGAGAACCAAAAGAAAAAAAACAATTCCCGTATTGACGTCTTGCGTTTTTCTGTCTAATCAGCACTTGTTACAAAGGACATTTTTTGTGGAATAACCAAGGTAGAACGTAGACCAACTGTCCCCATGGTTTAGAGATAAGCATCAGATGTTCGATGAAGTTTGCAGCCTGGACCAAAAAACTCATCCCCATCACAATTTTCTAGTCTCATAAGGCAGTACAACATGTTTGACCTTGATCTGCAACCTTGAAGCAGGGTTGAGAGTCGAGAATCAAGAATCAATCCTCATTGCATAATTACCACAGCTTGACTGCTGGGTGTATCTTCTTGTTATAAGCTGTTGATGTATGCTAATTTGAAGCACCATACAGATGCAACACCTATATTACCAAAAGAACCATCTTTTCCTAGTAGGACTTTTGCTTGGTTCATCCTCTTTTCTGTTCTCCATTCCCAGCTTTAAAGACTCCAGCCTTCCCCTGCACAAACTCAATGTAAGACTTACTGGAGGGAAATAGAGAAAAAGAAAGGGGAAATGACGGGGGTGGGCGTTCAGTGAAGACATTCTTTCAGGTTTTAATGCTGACTAATGGATCTCTGCAATTAAAGCTAGAGAACATATCTTTCGCTAATTACAAGAAGAAACCCACAACGTGAAGAAGAAAAATAGATACAGCAAAACAGAGATTCTACTAATAAATATAAATTGTGAAAATAAAACAAGGATTTTCATATATCAAAAACATTACTTGGTATCTGTAAGGCGTCCATGCAGGCTCCATCTCTGACGAAATCCTTCAATGCCTTCAATTCCACTGGCCAGAATCAAGCGCCTGCAATGGAGATGTAAAACATAAATTAACTACAGAAATGGTCAAATTATTCTATATGACACTAAGGTAAAATACTACAGTTGGTTAAAGGGAAATACGAAAAGGATTATAATGGAAAAAGGTAAACTAACTCTTTTAAGTTCTGACTAGCGACATAAAGGTTTTTTCTACAGGAATGAGCTGTACTTTCCCTGCCTTTTCTTTGTTCTTCTAAGTTTGATTTTCATACAAGATGCTGCAATTGCAGAACAATATTCATGAAACCAAAAATATTGGTAAGGTACTTCAAAGAGTTGTACTTGGATCTTTTATTTTCACAGAGCTAGTAGCAAAACATCAATAAAGGAAGGTTGTTTGTGACTTCCACTCAAAGTGTTAATAATATTGAAAGCAATTTAGTGCTCAAGAATCTTGACAGAAGCTAATGGAAAACAGGCTTGAGATTGTTGGAACTGAACATTTTATGCTACACAAACACATATAAAGATACAACCCAGTAACATAAGAGGCAGCACCCAAGTAATGCATCATCATTCAATTTCACATGACTAGATACAACCAAGCAACAAGGGCACAAAAGACAATGCTTCAGGGCTCGTGGAATAAAGATAGAGGGATTCTTGCAAAAATATAACATCAAGGACTTCATGACTGAAGATGCCCTTCTTTGTACATCTACACACTTGATAGATGCCAAGGAGGAAAAACACAAACATAGAACAGCTTCTACAGCACATCACTTGCATGGATGAAATTCCATGTATAACTACAACAAAATTTAAGGGAATAGCATTATATAAGTCGATCTTCATTACCCAAAGAAAATCATCACTTCTGACCAATTACCTCTCTAATGACGTGACTTCCGATTCAACCTGACCAGCTCTTTCCTTTGCCTGATCTAAAGGCATTGACAATCCCAACTTTCTCTCACTATCTTGAAGCCGTTGCCTTAGTTCCTTGTCCTGGAACCCAGATTTGCAAACAAATTGGTGAAAACTAATTTTTAGTCCTGAGTCAAGCATTCAAAAAAGCCTTTAGACATCTTACTCTCTTTTCAGCACATTGTCGATATAATGCAAGCTCATCTTGACAGAATGGCTCTATATCATTAATCTGCAGGCCTACAGCATAAAGCCACAATAAATTAATGTACGGCTATACACAAAATGCATAAAAAAGAATTTGATATATCATTTGGCATAATTGAGAAGATGATCAATCATGTCACCGATAAGAATCTATATATAACATCAGCCAACAATACCATACATAGTTTATATAAGATTCTCAAGTAAAAACACAGGACTTACACAAGAATAAATTGCGTAAAATCCCATCACATAAATCAACACCTTGAAGCACATGAGATGCAATTTCTTGTGGGATGACAGGAGATGGTAGCCCCATCATTAGATCATCGCCAACCAATATAGTTTCCTCCATAGTTGGTTGTGAATCGACTGAAATGCACAACAGAAAACAACAAACTCATTGATATTAATCAGTCATAAGTTTGAAAAGATACCAAGTACTGTCAGCTAGCAAAATGAATAAGGAATTCAAAATTGTATTGGATAAGTAAAATATCACAAACTTAATCTACATCGAACTAAACAAGCAGAATTTTCTATTATCTTAGCATAGACGTGTGTATGCATGTTTATGTTAAACAAGTAACTATCACCATGGATACATGTTTCAACTGCTAAGGGCAGTTGATTGGTGCACTTATACAAATTGTGTGCTGATAAAAGCCAAGTTTTATAAGGAGAATGTTAAAGGGTAGAACTGTCTTCAGTCATGCTTTAGCATTTGACAAAAATGAAAAATCTTTCACGCCTTCCAGTAAAATCCCAAGCAGAAGTTAGTTCCTTTTATCTTTAGAAACCACAAATCAACAACATTTTCAGCGTAAATGCAAAAACTAACACAGCAAAGCCTTTACATACCATCCATCGTCGCTTTCCAGTTAACTTTCCGACCACCCAAAAAACTCAATATCCAATTATTTCCAAGAGTCAGTTAAAACCTGTGAAATAAAAAGATCAGAAGAAAATCAACAAAAATTTTAGAAGAAGTGGTCTCAAACATTTGAAACAACAAAGCTAGCGCCTGATAGATGCAAAAATGGCTTCCAATGTTGGCATCTTGTTGAACAGGTCAAGAGACATATACCCGGAAGAATATTTTGAGTAATGAATCAGTAGAGGCAAATGGGTTTCTTAGATTTCCACGGAAAAAAGTGGCTTACTTGAGACTTTTGAGAGACCGAGAAAGAGAGAGCACTAACAGCAAGGTAAATAAGGGGAAAATTATAGGGACACTGTTTCTATTTTTTTTTTATAACCTGTTTGGTTGGACTTTTCTTTAGAAAACCTCCCATCAAGCCAGTACACCTCAAAACCACAAAAATGAAAAAAAAAAAAAAACTGAGCCAAAAATATAAATCTGCCAAACAAGTCTCAATTGAACTTTGTTTTCGGGTAAATACTTGAAAGTTTTGTATTTTATAAAAAATAATTAAATATTCATTAAATTAAGGATCAGTAAATAATTGTTTACTACAAATTTAGACCATAATTCACTTAAAGCTTATACTTGTTTTTGTTATTTGAAAATAAAAAGTAAGTGATAATATATATATATATAAAACAAAAACATTAACTAGTTGGAACTGTTCTAATCTACATATAATTGAAGTCAGTTTGATGGTTTAATGTTTGAACTTTAAAGAAGATGAATTCTTCAAAATTTAAAAATTGAATTTTCTGTAAATTTTTTTGATGCAAAATTATTAAATATGCAAACATTGACAAAAATAACTTTAAAAAAAAGGAAATAATATTTCTGTCATTTCGAGTTCAAAAATGAAAACGAAAATTACACCTTAATATGTCAATCCCTTATCCATGGAATGGAATGGATGATGGACCACCAATGCAGGGCTCCTTGCCTGGCTTATTGCTTCAACACTCTTGGTCCTCAGCTTTCTCACAACGTCACTGCCAAAACCCCAATAAAACTTTGCCTGAATTTGTATTGGCAGCGATCTGTGACTTACTAAAACCTACGAAAACTATTCTAACTACCACAGAAAAATCCCCATGCAATCCCTGCTGAAATGCTCCTCCGTTATCCCATCTTTCCCTCCATTTTTTCTTAAAAACCAAACTCCCAAAACAACCCATTTTTCTCAGTGTAATATCATTATTAATCACAATTTAAAACAGCTAAAACCAACCCATTTGCTTAAACCTCATGCTAATCCAAAGCCAACCCTTTTTTACTTCAATCTCTACCTTCGGCTTTATATAAATGCAGGTTTCATGCAAGAAGCGCGTGACCTCTTTGATTCAATGCCTGAAAGAACTCTGATTTCTTGGACTATCCTCATGTCAGGCTATGCCAAACATGGTCCTACTAAGGAAGCCTTGGCATTGTTTAAAGAGATGTTATCTGGTGATGAAACGGTGCGTCCTGACTCGTATGTTTACGCGGTTGTGTTGAGAAGTTGTGGCGAAATACGAGAATTGGGGTTTGGAAAAGGAGTTCATGGCCAAGTTTTGAAGAAAGGAGAAGCTTTTCTTGATGGGTTTTTAGAGAATTCTTTGGTGAATATGTATTCAAGTTGTGCGGTATTGGAAGATGCTGTTTTGATTTTTGATGGGATTGAGAAGCCTGGTTTGGTTGCTTGGAGTTCAATGTTAAGTGCCTATGTGAAAAATGGATTTGGAAAAGAAGGGTTGAATGTCTTCTTAAATATGGTTTTTGAGGGAATTGAGTTGGATGCTTTTGTGTTTTCAATGGTTATGAAGGCATGTTCCAATTTGGACGACTTGAACATGGGAATTCAAATTCATGGTTTAATGGTTAAGAAAGGTTTTGGGAGAGGGGGTTGTTTGTTTCTGGACAATAGTTTGATGGATTTTTATGCAAAATGTAAGAATTGGAAGGGATTCAGACGAGTTTTTGATCAGATGCATGAGAAAGATTTGGTTTCTTGGAACACATTAATTATGGGTTATGTACATAGTTTTCATTACCTTGAAGCTCTTAGGAGTTTTAGACTTTTGATGGATGAAGTTTGTTATTGTGATGATTTCACCATAACAAGTATTCTCAAGGCAATTTCTAGTTTACATGACATGGATTATGGTAAGCAGGTTCATGGATATATAGTTAGGACAGGTTTAGCGTTAAATAACTATGCAATGTGCTCACTTTTGGATATGTATATTGAGTGCATTGAGCACGAGAGCTCAGATCACTGCAAACAAGTTCCTCTAAAGTTGTATGTTGGCTTAGAAAGAGGAGAATCTAATGGGTTTATTATTGCAAGCATGCTAAAATGGTGCTCTATGTTATCAAATCTTGATACTGGGAAACTATTCCACTCCCTGGCCAAGAAACTTGCTGTAGACTCTGATCCATATGTTATAAGCTCATTGATTGATATGTATTCCAAGTGTGGGATGCCAGTGGCTGCTTTAATGGTTTATGAAAGAGTAGAAAGCCCTGGCACTGCAACGTTCTCAGCTTTGATTTCCGGACTTTCTTGGAACGGTTGGTTTGTCAAAGCACTAGAGTGTTTCCAAAAAATGCAGTTTAATGGTATTGAAGCAAATGAGTTCACCTTTACTTCTGTTATTCTAGCTAGTATGGCTTTAGGTGATCTTAGGAAGGGAAAAGAATTACATGGAAAGATACTTAAAACTTGTTATGGATCAAATGCTTCTGTTGTTAATATGCTTATTAATCTCTATTCAGAATTATCAGATCACCAACAAGCACTCAAGCTATGTTCCTTGATTTTGGATGCTGAGATATCGTGGAATTTATTGATACAGGCCTGCCTCAGGGCAAATGACCATGAAACGATTCACAAACTTCTCAGGAGGATTCAATCGTGCTCTGGGTGCATTGAGCCAATCTCTGTTTGTGATATTTTCAGCTCCTGTACCAGCCCAGTGCTTTTGCAAATGGGGATGCAAGCTCAGGCTTACATGACCAAAAGGGGTCTTCTCTCACATCCTACAAGTGGCAGTGGTCTCATTCAGATGTATTCTGGATGTGGACAAATTGCAGAGGCAGATTTGGTCTTTGAGTTGATTCCAGAGAAGAGTTCTCTGTCTTGGACATCCATCATCTCTGCAAAAGTGGAGCATGGCCATCCATCCGAAGCTCTGGCCTTGTTTAATGAAATGAGAAGAAGGAATAAATCAGTGGACCGAATTACTTTAAAATCAGTCTTGAAGGCTTGCGCCCAAATGGGTCGGGTCGATGAGGCACATAGTTTGTTAATGTCCATGGAAGTGGTTTATGGAGTTGAGCCATCAGAAGAGCATTATTCCTGCATTGTTGAAGCTTTTGCACGAGCTGGAATGCTAGAAGAAGCTGAGAACTTTATCAATGAGATTGTTCCGGAAAAAGTAGGCACAATGATTTGGAGAACTCTTCTTTCATCTGCCCGAATTATTGGAAATATGGAGGTGGCAAAATTTGCTTTAGAGAAGCTATTAAAACTAGATTCAAGTGACTGCTTTGCAAGGCTACTGCTTGAGAAGGTCCTGGTGATGTTTGGTAAGTGGAAAGATGCATCGAAGACTGAAGTTAAAACTAAAAGAATAGGGCCAACTTCTAGCTGGATAGAAGTGCAAAACAAAATATATGAATTTGTCTCAGACCAAAATCCAACTGAAAAAGTCTCTGACAAAATAGCGGAACTAGGAAGAGAGATGGAGGAGCTGGGATATGTAGCAGATAGAAACCATTTGCTGCATGATGCAGAAGAGGAAGAATATGATGGTGTGGGTCTTGCTCATACTGAGATGAAGGCCATTGCATTGGGGCTCATATCATTACCCCATGGAATGCCTATAAGAGTGATTAAGAGTGTTAGGATGTGTGGTACTTGTCATTCAGCATGCAAGTTCGTGTCAACCTTTGTAGATCGAGAATTGGTTGTCAAGGACACTTTCACTTTTCACCACTTCAGAGATGGAAGATGCAGTTGTCGAGATTCATGGTAGCAGCTATCAATGAAATATACAACTGTAAATGTACATTCTTATATACATATATATATATATATATAGGCATCTTCTTGGTCTCGTGATCAGTGCACAAATAACACTACTCATTCATTGAATAGTATGGCAGAATTGTATTGGAATGTAACTTTAATTTCATAAAATGTAATACAAATTCCTCATTGAAACACACCAAAAGCTTTGAAGTTGAGATTTACATGAGGGCTGAATAGAATTTCTTCATGACAAGAGATAATGTATTGAAGTGATATGCATACAACTGTGGAATTCATATTACAGCAGATGACAGCAGCAAGAGACCGGTAAAAGTTGCAAACTGATTTTTACTTTGGTAATGAAAGGATGAACTTAATCAGAGACAAAAACTGCAATATTTGACTTGATTACATATGGATGGACCCCGGCAACTGCTCTCTACATGTTCCAATAAGTCTGACCTGGAAACTGCTTTATGCGGTAGATATACTACAATCTGTTTTCATAAGAAGGTTTGAATTAAAAACTCTCTCTCAACTAAGTGTGAATCTCATGCACGCCGGTACTCATCTCCACAATCCCCAATCACTCCAAGCAGATCTTTCCCTCTTTCTGAAACTTCTTGTATACTGTTGACATCTTCCTCATCAAGAACAAGTGAAAAGATAGCATTCGAGTCTAGGATATGTTCCGACAAACCAAGTCTGACACCTATCATTGATCCTGCTACTGCTGGCTGACATTCAGTACATCAAACATATATTTGAATACATCATAAGTCACCGCAACTCACAAGAAAAGAGTAAAAAGAAGAAACCATGTAATTACCTGATCTAGTATATATTTAACAGCAACAGTTGGGATTGAGACTCCATGCTTAGACGCTACCTTTTTCAGAGTCTTAAGTAAAGTTTGGAATAAACTCCATCCTCCCCAAGCATCAACCATCTGCCACATTTAGATTAAAATAGAAAAGAAAAAGGCAAAAGAATATCAAATGTTCACCCTCACAAGAGATAAACTACAACCAAGATAATTTTATTTATGTTTGCAAACCAGATGAAATCTTGACAAGAAATGACACACAGAAGACAACTTACACCTATGCTTTCCTAAAAAAAATTTTCTTCTCACAATTAGCTTCATCCTCATATTATTGCACAACGTAATAAAGTGAGAACTCCAACTATTTAAAGGATTTGTTCTCCAGTTTTCACAAAATTCCCAACTTTTTAGGTGTTTCTAGATAGATCCCTAATTTGTAAATGGGTTTACAGCATTCAACAATTTCCAATTAGGTAACATGTCATTGAATTTAAGATTTAGAAATTCAATCTTCAGAACAGAGAAAAGAAGAATAGGGGAAAAAAGGAAAAATAATTTGTACCCTTTTGTACTTCTGGAGAGAGGGGGTATTTAACAGAGGGCCAGCAAAGGGAATGGCTATGTTGGTGTCAAGGAACTTCTCAGATAATAGACCACCCATTACTGTTCCATACCTGCATTTGAACCCTCATCAAATTCAGTAATAAGATAGAGCAATGCCTAGTCATCTAACAGGGATCAGTGAATATAAAATCAGAACGAGCAAGAAATTTGGCATCATCTAAGAAGGCCATATTGACTGAGAATATATTTTGGCCTCAAATTCACTACTTGTCATTAGAAAACTATCCTGGTTGGCTGGTTCTATCACTTTGAGAACATTGTCTGCAATGCCTGAGCTAAAAGCAGAGATGATGTGTGTGGTGGGAAAATTTGGAGAGAGAGAGAGAGAGAGAGAGAGAGAGACGTTATGAGTTTGACTCCTGTAAGCTGACAAAGCTCTGCCATTTTTTGCTGAGGGCGCATGTCAACAATTGAATGTTGCACCTGATGGAAACCACTCAGATATATCATCAGCAACATCGCAGACCATATAGATTAGCCAAGAAAAGCAATAAAATTAATGACTCCATTACTGCCTGTCCAAAAAAATAAATATATACCTGATTACTAACAACAGGAATTCCATTCTCTAGGATTATTTGCAGCCTTTCTGTATCAAAATTTGTCAAAGCAACTGTTCTAATTTTCCCTGCACATGCTCAGTGAAGTAGTTTGATCAAATCAAGAAATGTGAAATATTGAATACCAAAGCTAAAATAACAAAGAATGAATTCTAACCTTCTTCTTTCAGATCAGTAAGGTGTTTAAGTGCATCAAGGTAGCCAGGATTGGAATAATCCCACCTGTTTCAAATAGGATACAGAAAATTATATGCATATGAAGTTCAACAAGGTAAGTGTGATTAAATAATGGAAGAGCTTTCTGGTTGCATATTGAGAAAATGAAAAAAACTAAATATCATGGTAAAAACTAGCTGATACCTATGAATGAAACACATAAAATCCCATCTTGCCAGCATAAAGCTAATGAGGTTTGAGCAAAAAATAAATAAAGCTAATGAGGTAGACTTATTTTGTATAGCTCCCTTATCAAACAAAAACAAAATCTTCAAGAATCAACAGAGGATTTGTTGATGTTCAAGGTTCATGAACATAATTTAAAAGTGAGTGCTATATGAAACATGATAATACTAGAACATAATACATAGTACTCTAAGAGAGAATATACTTGGAACAAGACTAAGGTAAATTAAGCAAATACTTTCAGCCAATTCTATCTTCCTTTTTAGACAACATTGATGAATTCTAGAATATATTCTGTAACAAGTATAATGAGCTTTTCCCTAATGTCAATCCTTATCAGAACAAATAAAAACCAGAAAGATTTTAGAAGCTTCTAACTCCCTATCTAAAGCTGTATGGTTCTCCATGAAATTAAGAGTTGAGATAGCATCATTGTATCAAGTTTTAATGAAAGGCCTTATTACTCTAAGTTGACGGAAAGTGTGACAGATTGCACCACTTATTAGTACCAGTGAAACTGAAGCATGTCCAAGGAAGGCACATCCATCCTCTTTCGTGAAACATTGATGCTCTCCCTGACATAGCTGCTTGTCATCTTTACCGGTGGAGGCACCCATTTAGTGAGACTGAATTTATAATAAAACAGGGTAAGGAAAAGCAAAAAAATTACTCTTCCCAAACTTTATTCTTTAATTAAAGGTTATTAAATAACTTATGAAGTAGACTAGCACATACAGTAAACTAGCGTAGCGGCAAACAAAGCTAATCTCAACCAACATCTACCACAAGAACACATGTATTGATATCTGATATGGCTATAACTCACCCTCTAACCTTATCCAAGTACTCTGCTGGACGCTCTCGACGAACTCTATCGATAAAGATGCCATAAAGATCTTCCGCAGGTCCATCTGGAAAATCCAAGGAGCTCAATAATGAAAGAAAAAAATAAATCCCACATAATAAAAGACCAAGACACCTCACATAAACTGCAAAAAAATGCAAGAAACTTCAATTATTAAAATTCGCATAAAGACCTTCCACTCACTTCCAATACTAAAAGAAGAATAGTTCCTCAATCCACTAAACTTGTCTGGACTCATTCAAACAACTTTACTCCTGGCAATTCGGGTATCCTAAATTTCTCAAACAATCATTTCCACATTATAAAGTTTCCTACTTTACCAGAGCAGGTGCAACAAATGTAGCAACAAGCATGCGCATGCACACATACACAAGCTCAGGCGCACAGACATTTCAAAGTAAGACATTGATTTGCAAAAGGCAATAAGTGGATTACACATATCAGCCATATCAAATGTGGTAAGTCCAGCATCAGCATATCGAAGCATAGTATCGACAGCATTGTTTCGATCAATTCTACCCCATCCCCCACTTGTCTGCCACAACCCAATCACAACCTTACATATTTCCAATGAATCATTCCCATTCTTAACTATGCTACTTCTGTTATCTTCAGTAATGACACACTGAATTTGGTTTGAATTGGATTTTCTTATTGCAGTATGGCCAGTTTCTGTTTCCCATTTAACTGAATTCAATGTGAGGTTGGTTAAAGAACTCTGTAAGAATTTTGCCATTCCAAATGTTTTTCAGATATTGATAGGATTGACTTTCAATTTTGTATAATATGAGCATTGCTTTTAGTTACCCCTTTGTCCTTTCCAAAGTTTACCAAAATACCCTTATAGGCCGATTTGTTAATAACTGAAATCGCCAAAATTTTAAACCTTTTATGTCAATATTGCATTTTTTCACAAAATTCACATAAAAAAGTTTATTTCTTTTCTCCAAAAAAAGCCTTCAATAAGGGCATTTCGGTAAAACCAAATATAAAACTTGGGGCGTAAGAAGGTGCCAAGTGAAATAATTTGACACGTGGATGTTACCAGCCTATCTTGTCGTATGGTCACGAAAATTAATGAAACCAACCAACAAAAAGATGCCACGTTAACCAAAAAAAAAAGATGAATGTACAGTGGTCGGCCATGTCGAAGGTGGAGAGACCGGCGTCAGCGTAGCGTAGCATAGCTTCGACGGCGTCGTCTCGGTCGATTCTGCCCCAACCTCCACTGGTCTGCCACATTCCGTTTAGGACCCTACATATGTCGAGCGAATCGTTCCCGTTCTTCAGAGTGACTCGCCGAGTAGTATCCTCCTCCGTTGTTGCTGTGGTTGTTGTTGAGCAACATTTCACTGAGTTGGGGCTGAGTTGTTGTCTGGAGTCAGAGAACCGAGTTGAAGTGGTCAGTTTGGTGGATTTTTTGGATTTGAAGAGGTTGAGACCGGTGAAGACAGTAGATGAGGCCATTCCTGGTAAAAGGAGTTAAAACTCAAAAAGACTGGCAAAATTGTTGCCAGACCACACGGATAAGGGTTTTATTTATTTATTTATTTATTTGAAAAGAGTAAAAAGACTATTATACCTTTTTTTCTATTTTTATGAAATTAATATAAAATTTTTCTTATAATCATGACTTTCTTTGAAGGTTTTTTTTCAATACGACAGCCACCAATAGTATTATTTCAATGATGTGAAATTCACGCCTATGTAACAGACTATGCTTTTATATTTGTGCTTGGAATATTCTTGTTGTTTCTTTACTTGAAATCTCTAGGACTATGTTTGGAAACGTTGTTATGTGTTTTTACCCTTGAAACGAGCTTTCGCGTTTAGAACACAACTGAACGCTTTCGCGCTTGAAACATTCAGTATTTCAAAAAAAATAATTAATCAAAATTGAATGTTTAAACCTAAAAGGAAAAAGCATTCAGCTTTCTTCCTCATTCCTGTGAAGGCCCAGTCATCAATGAACGACTTAAAACTGATTTTCCTTGTGTTATGACACTATATTTTCCATGTATTAATTGCCCACAAATTTCATAATATGTTCCTTGTTCCTCTCTCCCAATCAATCAACTTATTAGATGGTTTGGTCAAGCCAGGTTGAAGCCCTTGGTCTTGGCATTAAGGTAACAATGAAATAACAAGGCAAGGCAAATGAAAGTTCTGCATATGTATTTAAGCTCCTTGCTTCATTTGGACTTCTGCCTCATGGAATAAGGAGAAAACAAAAAAACAAATGGAGTATTATGCTATTGAAATTGAAGAAACTAACGATAACCCAAAGAGAAAATCGCTTCTGAATAAGGAGACTACTTCAAGCCAGGGCCGAGCAAGTGCATCATGGCCGAAGCTAACGCCATTTCTTGATGGTAACATACTTTCAGAGTTTCTGGAAGTCGATGAGAGGAAAGCAAGAAAGATAAAGCTAGCTGTAAAAGGCAAGTAAATGATGCACTGAAAACGAGGAAGAGAAATATCGAAATAGTTTTTAAAATATTAACTGTCGTAGTAAGTGAAAGATAATAAAAAAAAATTATAGAATAAAAGAGAATTAAAAAATAATTTAAAAAAAACTTTAAAGAAAAATATGTTAGCTCTAGGGAAAGGGTTTTTTGAATGAATTGTGAAAGTTTTATACATAATATCAGAAGTAACGGTTACTTAAGAGAGCTTCAAGGTATGTAATGAATAATATTAAGAAGAGTTTTAATATTAAAAAGAGTTTTAATGTTAAGTAATTATTATTAAAAGTTAATATTGAATAACAGTTAAAAACTTATTATGTAATTATTAAAATAAATAAATAAAATACACACGAATGGGTAAAAGGAAAAAAAATATATGTGAACAACTATAAAAAAACAAGGTAAGAAAAAGAAACATTTATATTTCATGAATTTCGTATCTAAGTTACTGATAATTTCGTAGAACTTGTGACAAAAGAAGCAATGAGGGAATTGTCTAAAGAAGTTGATAATAAAGAAGTGATACTTTTATAGAAGAGGGTGTCGATGAAAATGAGAAATAGCAAGTCACTTTACTTTAGGATATAAAAAAAAATTAAAAAGAAAAATTCTTAATTATCTTTATATCTAAATTACCAAGTTAAATTTTTCAAAACATTTTAAAATGAAAATAACTTATAACCTAATTACTTGTTCCATATTACATTCACTATTATTTGTATGAAATGATTATTTTAATAATATTAATTATTCCACATGAAATCGTATTTCACTTATTCTAATCGTTTTGTGTTTCATTTATAATTGTTATTTTTATTATTTTTTATATAATATTATGTTATAGAATAATTTATTAAAAAATAAATATTAATTAAAATCAAATATCTACACTAACTATAAAAAGGGAGCTTTATCTTAAAGCTATTTGACTCTTATTGAGCGTCACCTCGAGAATAGACATCAGCGGGCAAGAGGCGGATAAAAAATAGGAGTTCCTCCAATGTCACGGTTAGAGTTTCTTAAAGTATCCAGGAAAACCATTACCAAGGTGAGCAACCTGGGTTGTTTCAACAGGGCCTTACCATCGAGGCAAAGATCATCTGCTCGGATTTGAACAGCAAAAATGGTCCTGCCTCGAGAAATTCTTGAGTCGAATTGGGAAGGATTTAAGTAGCTGTCTCCATGCCATGTGGACGTTTCAGAGTAGAACCAAAATGTTCTACTCGAATGACGTCCTCGTTTCAAGATATGACTTTCTTGAAATGATGCTTCTCGATTGCTGCTTTGTTGTTGAACTCTTGCTGCATCTCGGACGCAATGAAAACATTGTTGACCAGGATGATTCCATCTTCCCAAGGCCATGGTTGATACGAGTTCTCATAAGAGACCTTCTTAGGGAGAACAACCAACTTTCTTCTCCAATCATTGTTTCCATGGTCCCAATGTGATGACGGAGAAAGTGCATATACTTAACCGATACTAGCATTGAACGTTTTTGGTCTATCCTTTCCAACGGCCTTAGAAACCATTAATAAGAGCAGAAATTTCGAGGGGAAGCATCTACTTGATCTATTTCCTTTAAGTTTCCTTCCCTTTGATCATGCCAGGTGTTACTCTCCTTCACCTGCGTCTGACCGGCAACAAGACGGGGATACAGGGCACCGTGCCATTGAAACTGGTGAAACTAAAAAAGGTGCCTGGAGTGCTCAACCAAGAAGGATTTTACAAAATGGGGCAAGTTCTGACCAACTAGAAGAGAAGAAAAGAGGGGCTAACAGAGGTCAAGCATGTGTGACAATAAAGTATGAAACCACCGAAGCAAGTGAAAGCTACTGGGAAGAGGATACTGAGATAGATGAAACTAAAATAGAACTGAAACTACAATGGATTACTCATTAACTCTTATTTTGTGCAGTCTCTCAGAAAGGCGTGGAGTAGCAAGACAAAGGGGAAGAAGGAATTTATCAAATTCAATCTTCAGAATTCCTCATAAGCTTGTGGGAGTCAATGACAATGCGCAACAGCCTGAGCTTGTATCGACAGGCCGTTACCATCGTGGACATGAACATTTACTGGAGTTTGAAGAGCATAAGTGGTCCTTTCTTGAAAAATTTCTCTCAAGAACTAGGGGCTTTGGAATGGAATTAAGGGACTATCTTGAAGTTTTAAGGGCACTGGAGGAGAAAACTGGAGAATGTCACTCAGAAGTAGCCATCATGTCAATGCTTGACTTCTTGGAAATAATGCTACTCGATGGTTGCTTTCTAATTGAAGTCTTATGTCATCTTGGTAGCGCTGGAGATGTATTTGACGATGATGACTCCATATTCACAAGGCCATGGCTGATCCCTGTTCTGATTAAGGACCTACTTAAACTGGAGAACCAACTTCCTCTCTTTGTTCTCGACTCATTGTTTACAGGGTCCCATGGTCATGAAATAGGAAACCAACAATGGCCCTGTATGTTTTCAACCTTGTTTTTCCAAATCGTTGGGAATCGATTAACAAGGGTGAGGACTTGAATGCCAAGCATTTTCTTGATCTGCTCCGCTTGAGTATCCTGCCACCAAAACCAGTTGCGAGTTATCCGGTTCAACAAGAATATCGTCCATCAGATCAGTCTATATAGTGTGTCACTCAGCTTAGGCCATCAGGAATAAAATTCAATCCTAAAAAATCTTATAGCTTCCTGGAAGTTGATTTCAGATATGGGGTGCTTGAGATCACATCCATTACTATCAGCTACTTAACCAGCACTGTCCTTATCAACTGTGTTGCCCTGGAGCAATGTCTAGAAAATAGCTCCAAATACTTCACAGATTATGTGTCTTTCATGAATTGCCTCATCAACCAACCTAGAGATGCTGCATTTCTCTGTTCGGATGGAATCATCACAAGATTTTCCCAAGACGACCAGTATGTGGCTAATTTCTTCAACCACCTTGGGAAAAATATCGACTTTAATATTAGGCATTGTTATCTCTCCAAGCAGATCAGAGAAGTCGAAGCCTACTATAGCAGCAACTAGGCAACTATGATGCTAACTTATTTTAGCAGGCCATTGTCATTCATATCACTTTCTTCTGCCATCTTCCTCATTTCTCTTACCACGGTGCAAACTATCATGTCTGTTTTAGCTTACAAGTATTAGGCTAGAATGAAAGTTCATGAAAAAGTGTTCTCTGGTTAAATAAATCTCCTTGGAATCTCCTGCCTCAATTTTATACCAACAATAACCCAAGACATTTATACAAGTTTCTCACTCTAATCGTATAATAAAGAATCAAAATAGCCTGCAACATCGGCTAAACGAAAAGGCGGAAAAAGAATGTTTGCTTGGATGAAGTGACATTACATGCATCATTAGAGGCCATAGAATATGGCAAGAAAAATAAAATATAATAAAATACCATGCATCAAAACATATCAGTTTACTATGAAGGATGCAAGTTTTACTGGTATTTTTCTGGCGGCAATGACAGGGAGTTTAATGATGAAGTTATTTGTGAAAAAGATTAAAATGGTATGTTTATCAGGAAAAGTTGTCATGATGCCAATAGGAAAATATATCCATGTTTAGAAAAATATACACATTTGCTCTTTCAGGACAAGCAATTGATTGAAGCATTTGCTCCTTAGTAGTGTTTTAAGTATAAACAGCAGACCAAATACATGAACCAGCAGGTGCTAGAATTGTAAACTGATTACTATTTTAAATGAGAAATATAAAATTGTTACTATTAGATTGTTTGTTGTAGTTTAGTAAATAGTACCACTTTCCCAAGGAAATCACTAGGATTCGTGACACATTCAGGAATACTACTTGATAGCATTCTATTTTTGCTGTTTTGCTTCGAGCCTCATAATCCTCCGCTCCATCTGCATTTGATGCAGCCAAGGCAGAAAGATTTAACAACCACTATAAAAGAGAAAAGGAGTTCGATAGTCTTCAATCAATGCCAGACAATTATTATACGGCTATAAATCTCATAAACAAACTTTTCATGTAGTAGTCTCATAAATATGCTGAATTAAGTTCAAATGTCAAGGCTATATGATATTGATAAGCCATGTAATTTTTTAGCCATGCACACTCAATATGATATGATGAGCCTCTAATAATCAATATTTTACAGTTAATCCATAAGTTCATATGATATCTAACTAGTCACCTATTACTCTTTGTGGATACCTGAGTCTAAAACGTAACAGCTTTCCTAAGAATAAAATCTTCAATAACATCAAGTGTCAGAAGGAATAAATAAATACAGGAATCTATGTCCTTCTAAGAAATTTATTAGCATCAATAAATTAGTTCACCCAATTTAATGTCATTATATGGGGACAAACAATAATTAAAGATGGGAAATCAGAGAAAGAAATAACAGGTGTGCTTCACTACTTACAGGACATAATTTGCTAAGAGATTAACACACTTGGAAATAATTATACCAGTTTCGTTAGTATTGCTACATTTTGGTACATTCATTGACCACTGAAGCTTATCAAGAAAGCTAGGGATCCAAATTCCCTACAATTAATAAAGTATTTGCATCTTTTCTCAAGAATCCTGGTAGTTACTCAAAATAAGTTTTCTTTTCCTTTGTTTAGATTTACAAAGACTGTGCCCCACTGTAGGCAGAGCGGCCTCAAGAAAAGAAAAAGTTTAGAATAGAATTTCCTGAGAAAATTTACAAAGTAGCAAAATAAAGCAGCAATTTGATTGTCAAAGAAATAACGACTAAAATCACTAAAATATTTGTTCAGCATCTATGAAGCAGTAAATGCTGTAATCAACAGCTTCCATGATCAAGTTATGGCTCAAATCTTTATCAGTGATATTCCATCCCAGGAGGAATTCCCCATGGTAAAAGCAGCCATTTAGAAGACAAAGGCATTACCACAATGACACAAGAGATTACAAAACAGCTCTATTGGCTTTGAACTTATGCTACATTTTGGCATGGTTTAATTTTATTACCTAAGATATTATAATGTCCTTACTAATTCATATAACTATCACATGAATTAAATGTGAGTCTATACCTGGACAAGGACCTGCAACTTGTTACGGGTACGAGCGAATTCATTCTTTGTCCAACTCAAGGCCTGACGGATGCTGAAACAAGGATGTTTTCAATACGAAAAAACGGAAAGGCATGTTATAGAAACACATGACACAAGTTTGAATAGAAAAGAAGATAGAAAAAATGGGGAATAAAAAACAATCTTTAAAACATAAATAGATCATACAGGGTTAAGAACTGAATGAACTTGGTAGGTTAATGGATGTGTGAGAAAACCTTCTGCTTCACTTAATAAGATTGGCTATGCAATAAAAGTAAAACCATGGTTACAGCCCACGATTGATGAATACATATGAAAATATTCTGACATGGCAACATAAGTAGATAAAATACTAATAAAAAAGTGCATACAAGAAAGTTTCATACTTCTGCTTTTGCATCTGATCACAAGCCCGCGTAAGATCCAAGCATGCGAGTCTCACATGCTCAGCACCAATACTGTTTAAATAAATTTTGTGCAAGTAGGGGGTTAGAACTATCCAATCAGTAATCAGTAAATGATGGTTGGATAGATTAAGACTAAACTACATAACAATATCATAACATAAATTTTCATAAGAATACAATATAAGTATTATTTTAGAGATAACTATTTTTCTTAAAAAGCTAAAGTGGCATAAAATGAAGCATCACAAGATTCTTATGATAACAAACTGCTGATCTTTTAATCACTTTCCTGTTTCTCTCTCTGCCAACTGGTCTCCCAACCATGTAGTCTAATGAAGTATCTCATTACGTAAGAAAACCCCATGCTAGCTATATATTCTTGTCTGGAAGTCATCATTTGAATTTTCCTTTGGCATATTCGGATGCTTCTATTTAATTCAACATCCTATTTCAGGGGAGATATGCATGCTTTGTTCATTTTACACACAGGAGATGAGAACAAAAAAAAAGGGAAAAAAGGAAGGGGTGGGGGTTGATTCTACCATTGTGTTGGTTGTGCATCTTCACAATACCTAGAACCTTGGCAAACCCATGCCTAAAACACATGCCTTGACCTATAAATGCATGTGCTTTTTTTTTTTAAATAAGAACACACTATTTCAAGTCCAACGTGGATTGTAATACTGTTACATAGCATACGATGCAGAACTCATTTAGTCCTTTGATTTTTTAAAGACAAGCACCATCAGGATGAAACTTTCAATCAAATTTTCCTCCCAAAAACCATTCAATATGAAATGAACTAAATCAGTGAGATTATCCAATGAACTTAATGAAAATTAAGGTCAACATTACCAGGAGCTTCTCTCCCCTACTTCTGTAGCCAGAGCAGCCAAGTTAGAAAAATCAACATTAGGGAGATCACTGCAAATACGTAGACCCATTAAGATAATCCAAATAAAAGAAAATTAGATTTTTCAGTACAAATATTTTAGGTCCATGAACAAAGATACATGTAGCTTTCAAGTTGTGATAAAATGGTTTCCACATCGAGGCAGTACGTATTGATCAACTGCACAAAATGATCAGCTCTTCCAACCATTTTCAAATGCTGAATATGAAAAAACTGATCATTTATGATCCCCTGCAAAGAACAACATGGGAATCCACACAGATTCAATACTAAGTTACTACAAAAATGCCAGAAATGCTTGAACAAGTGCATATCTGTGTAATGGAAGCTACAATCCAAACAGAATGAAAACAATATAGAAGAAACAATTCTAAAATAAAATATTATGCATAAAATTTTAACTATACACGTTTAGAGACATCTGATTAAAGATCAAATGGCAGTTCTTATACCAAAAGCCCCTGGCATAGATAGCAAATTTGAGCCAAAGGGGACCCATATCACAAAAGATATCACCAAACAGAAAAAATAAAAGAAGAAGAAGAAGAGAAATTAAGATTGAGCTCATTTATATCAGCACCTCATTGAACAATGACTGCACATATTGTTGCAGCAGTCCCCTGACAATAGACAAAGCCATTTCAATCTTAATGAATACTATTAGATAAACAGAACCAAAACTTGAAGGAATCTTTTAATCTAAGATGAGAAGAAAAGAACTTTGCATGAGATGTACCCCCTTCAAATGACAACTTAACAAGCGAAATGTGTTGCAAACAAAAATGATGTGTCAGGCAACACGAGTTTAGCATGGTGTTTCGATGATAACACCTACAACACTCATGTCACTGTTAATGACAAATGTCAAGAAATCTCTTTGTCCTGTTTCAGCAAGAGTTCCTGCACTAA